GAAGATGTGACACAAGAAGTTTTTGTGGTATTTCATAGCTGCAAGTTTAACAACAAACATCTTTGGAGAATGCTACCTCCATGTGGCCTTTCTTTTCCTAGTGTGCCTCTATGGGCCAAGAAAAGGAAAGGTTTCTGAGGAGAGGGGATGCCGGTAATCGTAGCAACTGATCTGGTTTGAAAACCAGATTGTTTTTCAGACATACAAGCACTTGAAGCAGCTGAAAGCCAAACCACAGTTTTATACCTAACAGCCTTGATGTTCCTTGAGGAATTGATACTGTCTTTTATGTCCTGAAATTTTTCTTTGAAACAAACTGAGACTATCAGAACCTATAAATTACTGTTCTTTATCCCAGTTCCACAAGCAAAAGAGCAGGAAGGAGCCAAAAAACTTGCAAGTTTCCAGAATGTGTCTAACTCTGAGGCTCATGACTTTCCATTTTTGAGCTCAGTTCACTCCTCTTTGAGGTATTTGGGTTTTTGTGTTTCTAGAACCACATCTGATGTGTGTTTCAGTAGAGGATGGCCTTCCAATGGCTGTAATTATGCTCACTGTGGGTTTTTTTGTGTGATAACTTACTGCTTGGTAAACTGCTATCCTGAGCAGAAAAAAAATGCTGGTTGAGAAGGAGCCTTATCCATCAGAATTTGGGAATACTTGGATTTGCAGCATAAGCTTGTTGAAGCAGAGCTACATAATTCTGCTGTAATGCATTTATTGGTAAGACATTCTTGTGCTTGGTTGTGCCAAACAAATGGTGGGCAACCAGCTGCTTTTCTGGAGTCATCTGTGGGGAGACCTCTGCATGGCTTAGGAAAGGAGTTATTCTGGGCATGAGCCCTTTCTGTGTAGATTTGCACCCTGCTTGCTTCTTTGTCAGCAATCCTCAGTGGTCAAGCTGTTGCTACCTTCAGCCACAATGATTAGTTGCTGTTCTGGGTGTGTTGTAAAACTGAAGTGTTTTATGGAAATGAAAACTGATCCTAGAATACTTTTAGTATGTGGTTGTGTAATGTATTCTTCTTTCTGGCCTCTCAGATCTTGGAAAATGCTTTTCACACCCTGAGTTCTCAAAATTGAGTTCAAATGCTCGCTGTGGTTTCAGCCTTTAATTCTAGAAGGCTGGGTGATCATTCAGTTAGGTGTATTTTATCCTTTTGAAGCGAGATTAGTCTTCAGTTTCAGTTTTCTCATTTCCATGTAGGTCAAATCATTCTGGCAGAGCACAAGTCTGTCCTCAAATCCTGATGTGTCAGGAAAATACAAAGAGCTCCATGTACTCACCCTGGCTTTCTCCTAAACTCACACAGGCTGATCTTGCTTTGTTCAGCTGGCACATTTTTTTTACCTTGATGGACTTTTGGCAACCCTCCAGTGTTAGATATCTTACAAATGAATTGGTCACATCTATACTAGCAAGGGTCAGAGTGAATGACTAAACTTGAATGAAGTGCATGAGATTATTTTCCTTCTACTACAGAAAAAAAAGTAAAAAAATATTTTTCCTCAGATTTTGAAAGGACTAATTATTAGTGATAACATTTTCCTGTATTTTAATATTTAATGGTACTACACTTAATTATATTGCAGAAGTGAAGTGCATGTTCTCTTCCCTGTTCTTTGGTTTTATGAATAATTCTCTCAGAGTTGCTTGAACTTGCTAATTTTTTGAGAAGCAATATAAAAATTGTCATTTAAATCATCAGCTTATAGCACATACAAAAAAGTCCAGGGCCAGCCTTCTGTAAAAGACTGACACAAATGCTTGACTTCATTTACTGTGTCCTCTCCCTTCTGGTTCGACTGCTGTAAAGCTGAGCACATGCACATAGTCTCTGTGGAACTGGTGTCTGGAGTAAGGAACCAAAAAGGATTGATGTATGCACAGGTAAATGAAATTTTACAGTAAAATGCCAATCTGTCATTGAAGTCCAGCCAGTGCATTAAGGACTAAAGCAAGGCTCCATTAAAGATGAGAGGAAATTACTGGCAGTTGTTCTAGAACTGACTGCAAGAATTAGGAAGGAACCAACATGTATTTGAGCATCAAGCCTGAACATTGTCTTTGTGGACTTGAGTCCTTTTACTAGATGTTTTTTGGAAATTCTAATCAGCAGGAATGAGGAGTTGGTCTTGTGTCAGAGCACTGGCCGTGGCTCAGGTTACACCTTTAGACTGAAGAGGAACACTCCAGAGGCTCTGCAAGCAGTGAAGACACCAAATCCCCAAGGTGGTAGTGCCCAAGTCCATCAAGCATCTTTTTTTAATCAAGTGTATGTTTGCCAGATGTTGAAGAGCACACCCCTGATTTCATTCTTTGGAATAAATCCATAAAACAACCACATGAACTCCTTTGGTTGTTTCACATACCTTTTGTAGTAACACAGTTCCTCTTAGAATGACTCTTGCTCCTCGAGTTCAGCATTGATTGCACCTCCTGTAGTATAATTTTAACTCTGGCTGATTAAAATTGCCCAGCAAAGACAACTTGGAGGCATTTTAACCTGTAGAATTAGCTAAGCATGCAAATAATGTTCTGGCATCATCTTCTGTTTGTTATGCATGTGATGACAGTTTCCTTTAAACATTGAGGGTCTCTTGAATTCACCTTTTCTTTGCCTTACCGGCCTCCTTGGCCCTGTATTTTACAAAATATATCCCCTAAGAAAACTCGTAGTTACAGAAACTGCAGTAATAATATTCAGTATTTGTTGAAAGAGGTAGTAGAGAGAGTAAAGCCTTCCACAGAAATAAAATTTGATATTTCCATACCAAAAGAAAAAAAAAATACAAATAGTTACATAGACTGGAAAAAGGATCTTTAAATCCTGTTTTTTTAGAGGGATCAGGAATAATTGTTCATTGTATTTTTCATTCTCCATCACTTGCAAACTTTTGGCAATACTTAATTTTGCATCTGGGATGAAGATGTATCTTCTCTTAAATTCAGTGTAGTACTGAAAGATCTTTAAACTTTTGGAAATAAATGTAACATTAATAGTAACAGCACCAGCATGGAGCATTTGTTTTACTCTTTTCAAGCTATATTTTCCCTCCTTCAGTTTGAGTACGATGTCTTCTGACTTGATTTCACAGAAGCATCTGCTGACCTAGAGCAGTTTTCGTTTTTTTGCTGTCGAGCAGTTAGTGTTAATTCATGTAGAAATCTGTGAAATATGAAGCAGAAGCAGTCCAGTTCATGTCCAGTCCAACTGGAAATGTCAGCCTAATAGGTCATGTTTTGTACTTGGCAGTGTTGAAAGGCAAGATGTCTATATTTGGATGACCTGAAGACTTTTAATTAATTTTCATATTGTATACCCCCAAAGTCTAAGGAGGAATGCATATCAGTGTGTGAGCAACACTGGGTTCACAGTGCAAATTTTCATATGTGGCAAACTGAACAGAAAACACTGGAATATACTGGATCTTTTCCCTCCATCTCTGAAGGCTCTGATCCTGTTTTTTCTCACACATTTTCTTTGGATTTTTCTATTCTTTTTTACTTGTATGTTTTGCTTGCTGCATACATTTTAGCAGATGCACAGGCAAAAAAGACATGATCGCCCATACTTTAGAATGTTTTGCTGTGTCTTGAAAGGTTTTTCTTACTGAGGAGAAAGGGATATTCTAGATGCTATTTCTGTTGATACAAACTGAAGGTCACAGAGAGTTGTGATGGGACTGGAACAGATAGTTGAGGGCACAGAATTTGTCATCATGCTCCACAGAAAGGCCTTTGGGATGCTGCCCTGCTCCAGGCTCTCCTGCAGACTGCAGGGAATTGAAGCTGGCACTGTGTTCTTTCCTGGCTGAATGTTCAGGTGATGAACACAGCCAAATTCTTCTCCCATTTACAGTGACACAACAGGTCTGTTGGTCCTGGTGAGGAGGGAGATGTTGAACTGCAGTGCAGTCTCACATCTTCCTCTCCTGTCGAGTCTGTTTAGAAGTTGATGAAGTCAGCAGTCTGTGGGGTGATGCTGAACCTCTGGCAGAAGGCCTGTGCAAGATGTGTAACTTGCATCACAGGAGATGCCCTTGAAAGATGGTTTATGTACAAACTCAGTGGGGAGTAAGTTCTGCAACAGCCTAGGGAGAGTAAATTTTAAAAAGAAGCATAGATCAAGAAAAACTTACTTATTTTGAGAGTACTGGGGGAGGGGGGGGGGTGGAGACATGGGCATCTGCCTCAGTTTTTATTAGTAGTGCCCTACATAGTATAGAAACTATATTCATGGATTTCAAATCCACAAGGGCTCAGCTTGACCATCTAGTGATCACAGCACAGGCTGAAAATGCAGAGACTGCATTACTGCATCTGCAGCTGCCTCATGACTTTTTTTTGAGATAATATATCCTTTATAGAAAAATTTGCTCTACTTTGATCTAAAGCCTGTGTAATAGACTAATTAGAAAGCTGTTCTGTTCTTGTGATGTACTGCCACTAGTGCTGTTCATTACAGATGTTTGATCCAGAGTAGCTTTTACTCCAGTGGGAGAGAGAACAACCCAGTAGATGTTATTTTTGGAACCTGCTTTCCAAGATAGTTTGCTAAAACCCAAATTTTACAAGTGCTCTGACACACTAAAATCTTTCTTTGGGTCCAGTATGTTAGTTGAGTTTGCAGACTGAGACTTGGATCAATTTGCTTAATGTGCCTTATGGAGCAAGACTCTTTAGAATTGCTTTTTGGCGAGTTTTTGTGGAGGCAGAAACTGTGGTCTCTAGTTTAGCTCAGCACAGAACCCATTAGAACTAGGACACTAGATCAGGCCCTTTTGGCTTTATAGGTGATAGTAGTAAATGAGTAATGTACAGCCCTTTATTTGCTGCTGCACGTGGCTTACATCGAGTTTGTTGCCGTAGCTCATTCTTTCAGATTTTTCTAAGTGCATACAACCTTCAAACATACTTTGGATGTGAACTTGCAAGGCGTCCTTTGTTCCTCCTCTCCCAATAACTGGCAGCACACTCTCTCTTTCTCGCTGCCAAGGGACATACTGCCAGCAGAGAGAGGTGGAAGCTATAACAGAAGGAGATGAAGACAACGAAGGCTGCTGCTGTTGTAAGCCCGGGCACTTGCCTCACCTGCTGTCCTGCAATGCAGCCTTTAACCTGCGCTGGCTGACGTGGGAGATCACGCGCACCCAGTACATCCTGGAGGGATACAGCATCATTGACAACAATGCTGCCACCATGCTGCAAGTGTTCGACCTGCGCAGAATCCTTATCAGATACTATATCAAGGTAAACTCTTTGGTTGAGTGCACTTTGTTCCTAGGTGGGTTTGTCAAACACGATGCTGTTGGTCTATAGAAGAAAGAGCATTTGAAGTTTTTTGCTTTACGTTTATCCATCTGCTCTGTAGTCTGGTAGTCAGACTGACTTGATGTTAGATCACAGAACCATAGAATCATTTGGTTTGATCTTAAGATTATCCAGTTCCCACCCTTCTCCTATGGCAGGGACACCTTCCACTGGAATAGGGATAATTAATTAATGTCTTCCTTTGCTAAATTTAATTCTGATCACTTATACTTACAGTTAGTACAGAAAATGGCAGGCATGCTTCAGTGGACATCAAGAAGGTGAGTTACCATCGTGTAGGAATAAAATCAGACAAAGTATTCTTACTTATGTTCTTACGTTCTTACAACACTTCACTAACAGTTTGTTATTTTTTCTTGCCTTGGCCTTTCCACTGTTTCCTTTTTTTTTCCCCTGGAAAAGAAAAGAAAGGTATTAACAAGCATAAAGTTCTTTGGAAACTTCTGAACAGCTGTTTCTCAAATGTACTTTTTTAGTAGTGCAAACCCCCTTCTTACCTTCTGTTTTACACATATATCACAACACATTTGAAATTGGTTTATTACATTGATTACACATCAGTTCATTTACACCACTTTCATTATTGCATTGTTATTAAGATCACAATAACCGCACATATACAAATTTGTCAAAATAGTTGAACCTTATAGTCTGGCAAGACATCTTCATCCTCTGCCAAAACAATTCCCAATCCAGAAAATGAAGAATTTGTTGGGTTTTATAGTCTTCTACTGAAACAGCAGGAGCCAAGTGCTGCTTGCTATGCCACTGGTACTGCCATGAAGCCAGTTGCTAAAGCTCCAAACCATCCCTAACATCTCCTTTTTACTTACATCTCTGCTATTGTAAAAATCTGTCAGCTTCAGAGAGATACCTGTTGTAAATAAGTTAACCACCATTTTTTGCAAATGAACCAATGTAATAAAAACAAGCTCATTGCCTTACAAAGCTGCTTTGATCATGCAGTTGATTACTTCTGAGATTTCGTAAATAATTTTGTAGGCAGTACAGCCTGGTAACCAACCTGCTTTGTTTAATAAACTAATTAGAAATAAAACTGCATGTGAGCATGATTTTTTTCGTTTTAGAAGTGGTGTTTGTGGCTATAAATTGTTTTAAAGCAATGTAACTAAGCTAAAAAAACAAAACAAAAAACCAACTCTTCTTTAATGAGTATGTTGCTACAAATGGTTTGCTTTATTTTAAAAGGTAACTTGAATAACTGGAATATAAACTGGTGCAAGCTGGCAAATGACTCAGCTTTTGATGGAAAATGAGATTGAAAAAATCCTAGTCTAAGCTGCAATCAAATCAGCATCTTATTAGTTTAAAGCATTGAGTAATTTTGCTTTTTATACTGGAACTTGTTTTGTGCCTTAAAACGAATCAATATATGGAGGATTTGTGAGAAGTGTGATGTTCACCATATGGCATGTAAAAACTTAACTGAAAGGTAGTTTAGAGCTTCTGGTTCTGGACACACCTGAGAAGCAGCTGACATAGGTAAGATGGCTGAGACAAACTTCCATCCCAGGTGGTAGAGGCGCGGTTAGCTGATCCTGTTTTGAGTAGAAGGGAGTGGGTTAAATGCTCTCCACGTCTCTGAGATGTGCAGTGGCTCCATCTCCACTCTACGCTGTTCATGTGCATTACTGATGGCTCTGAAAGCATGAAAATCAAGTCTCTTCTTGTTGGATTTAGCTGAGCCAGTATTATTATATTGCACTGACAGAGCTTCATTCTCAGAAGGGTCAGTCTTCCTTGTCAGCCTGTCCATCTTTTTAATCTACTTCTCTTTTTAGGGAAGGACAAGCAGAAGATAATAATAACCTGTTGGCACCTTCAGTATTAGCCTGGGCTGGGGCTCCCTTTAGTGAAGGGAGGGTGCACTCAGGAAATCCCTTCTCTAGAATGTCATTTCCCAAAAGAAAGTTACCTTGATATTTTCTTCATGTATTTTTAAAATAATTAGTTTTTTTCCATGAACAGGGGCTTTAAAAAGATTTGGTAAAATCTTTAGTACAGCCTTGGAAAGTGAGAAGATTATAATATGTATTAGATCAGCTTTTGTCCTGTTTATTTAATGCTTGCTTCCAAATAAACAGTATCAGACAGAGAGGTGAGAATTGATTCCTTCCCCAGCTCTTTCTTCTGGGGGAATGTAAATCAAGACCCTGTGCAGTTTCACTGTGAAAATTCTAAAAGTCCTTCACTTTCTTTTTAACAGTATGAAAGTAATTGTAAGAAGAACTATAGGTAAGGCAGTATTCAGGTCACATAAAATACAAACTCAAAAATCACTTAGGCCGGACTTTCTGCAGGAGCTGCACTTCCATTGCATTGAGCATTTGGAGTGTTTCTGGTTTATTCTCTGTAGCTTACAATGTTGTAAATATTTACCATATTGTTTCAGAAATGCCATATAGCTGAGGATGCACTTGTGCATAAAACATATCTTGTAAGAATTACCAAGAGCAGAATTTAATTGGGTGACAGAAGATTTTGTTGTTTCTGTGTCTGATTTCAGGTCTGATTTTTCCCCACCTGAATCAGCTTCTTTGTAAACACAGATGAGGATAGTAAAAAAAGCAAACTCTATCTCAAAAATCAACAAAGAGAATGTATTGCTTTGTTTTAGTTCTTCTATCCTTCAAGAATAATTACTGTATTGGTCTTTTAAACAATGAGTTGCACTGAGGATCTTATTCCTAAATCATATTTATTTCATTTGCAGATTCATTGACAGCCTAGATATGCATACATTTCTTATTGTGGAAGGATTTTTATTCCCCACAAATAAAGTGGGTCAGCTCCTGTAGCCCTTCTGCATATATTTTGAAATAATTTCCTGCCCAACTACTGTGATATTTTTCCCTTGTGCCTCTTCCATCTCTTCTCAATATATTCTTATTTAAACATCTTTTAGTATTCAAGAAGTCTGTGTATTCGCTGAGTGCTGTGTTTTCAGCTCCTATTGTTTCTGCATGAATCTTTTTTAAGGAGTGTATTGTTCTCCACATGCCAAGAAATTAAGGGTTCATCCTGTCTATATCTGTCTGACTTGTCTTTTTCCTCTGAAGCTTGATTCTCCTCTTACTTGTGTACAATCTGAAAAATAAACTGTGGAGAACATCTGGGGTTTTTCAAAGGGCTGGTAGTGCTTCTGTCCTCTGTAATCCATCATATATTAATGATATAAGTTTATTTGCTTAGTACTATTTCCATTGACTGGGTAAAGCAGAACTACATTATCTTCAGCCGTGTATACTTGCTCCTCGTTTGCTTTGGTATCCAACTCTAAATTAATATTATAAAACATTATAATGGGCCTTTCCTGCTGATAGAACACACTGGAACTTCTTAAGTTTCATATTCTTTTGAAAATATGCTCTAAGCTCTAAATTGTGTTTAGAATTTTTTTATTACTTTTTAAATTTAATTATTATTTTAATATGTCCAGACAGAGCAGTTAGAAAAACTTAGAAACTCAGGCACAAATATGAGATATGTATGTTGCTTTTCTAACATTTATATGTTTGGTTAAAGAGCTCCTGCTGTATGCTCCTCCCCCTTCAGTGCTTTAAAAGCAAACTCAGTTAAATCAGTTATCAGCTTTTTAACCCAAAATGTAAGAAAGGAATCTATTATTCTTTACCTGCTGCACTGACAGATAACAGACTTGTGTCATACACATCTGTCATGTCTCATCTTTGTGGCTAGTAAAGAATTAGGAAAGCATAATCGCCAGAAAACAATAAGTCTGCTGAGGGAAAAAAGTGCCCTATTTTGAGGATGGGACCATCTACTACTGTTTTTTCAAAACATGCCTAAGCTATTATTGATATCACCTTCTCAGTGATAGACTCTAGAACCCCACTAGTACTGACATGTGTTTGAATGCTGGAACTCCCTATTCCTATCATTGTATGGATTTTCCTGGAAGGCAGAAGGATATTAAAAATATCTTTTTCTGTTGTCTGCTATTCAATATCAATTATTGCCATCTTTTTAACCTGAACACTTTGTGAAGCAATAATGATGCTAAGCAGTAAAATGTAAGAAATAGATATACTATTACAGGTCTTAACGTGGTCCTATTTAGCTTATTCTCTTCTGTGTAAAATATGTCTGTTTTAATCAGAATTCAGACTGACTAACGTTTGCACATTTTGTCAACAGAGTATAATATACTTTACAGCAAGTTCTCCCAAAATCCTGGACTGGATAAAAGATGAATCCATCCAAAAGATACTGCAGCCTTATGCAAAGTGGCATTATATTGAACGTGACCTTGCGATGTTTAATGTTAACATAGATGAAGATTATGTACCGTGTCTCCAAGGAATAACAAGAGCTAGCTTCTGCAGTGTTTATCTGGACTGGATTCAGTTCTGTGCCAGGAAGAGGGTGGAGGTACGTGTCAGTTTTATTTTTTTTTAGTAGTCTCAGTTTTAGTTCTTGGCATATGAGTGAAATGGTGCATGGCTACTGTTCTACTTGCTCAGGATTAGTAGAATAAAATTTATTTCATATAAGCTTTTAGTTTTAATGTAAAAGGAAAACAGATTTTGTGGAATGGAAAAATATTTTGGGAACTAACCTTGCGCAAAAACTGGAGTCTTAAGGAGCGTGAGTCTTTGAATACATAACCAGTTCTTTACTGTGCAAATTTCCAACAATGTTAATTTTGTCAGCTCTAGAAAGCAGGGATGTATCAAGTGCTCACAGAAGTATTGCCAGAGCAGGCTCCATTCAGAGAATGTCATCAGTGCATTACAGTTCCTTCAGTGTTGACAGTGATTGGTACATTTGCCAAATGTCTGTGATGTCTGTGTATGCTTTTCAGAAATTTGCTTCTATTTGTGTACAGTTGCAGGATGGTAGGGGAGTGCATGGCACACTCCCTGCTGGCACAGGTCACCTCTGACAGCTCGTGGCTCAAACATGAACCACACCACAGAAACGTGTGCAACCACTACAGCTCTGGAAGGTCAAGGGCAGATGTGCAGCTGTGCATTTGCATGCTCTGAGCCACTGAGATTACTGATGGTCAGCAGTTGTTTGTCAGAAATGCACTACTGTATTTCCATGGAATACTCAAAATAGCCCAGAGGGAGAGTACAGTTTCAAACAAGCATATTGCCTCCATCTAATTTTCTGATTATTGCTGATAGTAGCAAAAGTGGAGAAGTGTCTCTTTCCTGGCCACAATGTGCTGTATTTGTGCATTTTTCAATCAGGATCACAGAATGCACATCCCATTACTGACCTTAGCTGCTGTAACACCACTGACTCTTTCTTGAAACATCACCAAATATTTCTGCTGCACTTTGGTTCCTTCTCATGTCTCTGATGCTGAGTACCATTCCATCAGTTCCCCTGCATATCGTTCTTGGCATATGAGTGAAATGGTGCATGGCTACTGTTCTACTTGCTCAGGATTAGTAGAATAAAATTTATTTCATATAAGCTTTTAGTTTTAATGTAAAAGGAAAACAGATTTTGTGGAATGGAAAAATATTTTGGGAACTAACCTTGCGCAAAAACTGGAGTCTTAAGGAGCGTCAGTCTTTGAATACATAACCAGTTCTTTACTGTGCAAATTTCCAACAATGTTAATTTTGTCAGCTCTAGAAAGCAGGGATGTATCAAGTGCTCACAGAAGTATTGCCAGAGCAGGCTCCATTCAGAGAATGTCATCAGTGCATTACAGTTCCTTCAGTGTTGACAGTGATTGGTACATTTGCCAAATGTCTGTGATGTCTGTGTATGCTTTTCAGAAATTTGCTTCTATTTGTGTACAGTTGCAGGATGGTAGGGGAGTGCATGGCACACTCCCTGCTGGCACAGGTCACCTCTGACAGCAGCTCGTGACTCAAACATGAACCACACCACAGAAACGTGTGCAACCACTACAGCTCTGGAAGGTCAAGGGCAGATGTGCAGCTGTGCATTTCCATGCTCTGAGCCACTGAGATTACTGATGGTCAGCAGTTGTTTGTCAGAAATGCACTACTGTATTTCCATGGAATACTCAAAATAGCCCAGAGGGAGAGTACAGTTTCAAACAAGCATATTGCCTCCATCTAATTTTCTGATTATTGCTGATAGTAGCAAAAGTGGAGAAGTGTCTCTTTCCTGGCCACAATGTGCTGTATTTGTGCATTTTTCAATCAGGATCACAGAATGCACATCCCATTACTGACCTTAGCTGCTGTAACACCACTGACTCTTTCTTGAAACATCACCAAATATTTCTGCTGCACTTTGGTTCCTTCTCATGTCTCTGATGCTGAGTACCATTCCATCAGTTCCCCTGCATATCATTATATTGATAATGTTTTCACTGAATTGTCTTCTGAGGCATTTCCAAAACACCATCTCCTCCTACTGGGACTACTTCACTTCTTTTATTTCTCGTCTCCATGTCTCAGCTCCCAAGTTCTGACACACAAAGAATTGCACGGTGTGGGGAAAGCCACTGTTAATTGATGCCTTTCCACTTGTTCTCTGCCTTAGATTTTCAAATTCAATTATTGATTTAGGGATGTCAATAGACTTGAAACATGTAAGTTATACTTCAAAAGGCAAATTAATGCCTGCACTGATGCCATACACATTTATCTTTTTGTTACATGTTTTACCTTTGTTTTTTAATTCACTGACTGTAGAAAAGCACAGTTCATGTAGGAGGTGGGATAAAAAAAATGAAGTTCACTGTACACATAAGCCAGAAAATCAACATATTTTCTAGAAGGAGCTACATTCTCCGTTATAATTGGCTTCAGTTTTAGAGTCAAAGCTCTAAGAAATCACTCATTGAATGGACTGAAATAATAATATGTATCCTCCTGAAGATTAACATGCATGAGGAACATGTTTGTTCCAGTTTTTTCCTCCTGCTAGGTAGCAAAGTTGTCTTTGTGAAAATTTCATTAGAAAACCTCTCCTGAGCTACTAAACATAAATGCAATATTCTGAGTGCTTGTTAAAATGGGTAGTCAGTGTCATCAACCATTTAGATAGTTATTGTTATTCACTGAAAGTGTGTGCCTCTGAACTTTTCCAAAGATATTGTACTTCTGAAATCTGTGGTAAGGTTTCATAGGACCTGTGGTCCATGAAAAGGGTTTTGGCTGTCTCCAATTGCAGTGTCTCCCAACAACAAGGAACCTCCTCCAGTTTAGAATGTCAGGTCTAGGAGGAGTGGAAACAAACAAAAACCCCACAATAAAACATCACCATCACCAAAGCTCATTTCCCTTGGGATCTCAGTACCTGAGAATGGAATGTTCTGTTTCCAGCCAGTGGGCAAAACAAGCTTGCATTTTGCAAAAATCCTCTGATGGTGATGGTCTTCCTTCTTGGTCTGTTTAATTGCAAAGAATGTTTTGGTGTGCAGGTCCAGCTACATGCAAATGTTATGGATGTTACTATTTGTGGTGCTTTTAAATGTGATGTTTGCACTTAAGAGTAACATGCTAATCTTCAAACTTTGTAGCACCTGGACAGCGATGAGGATTCTCCTCTAGTGACACTTTCCTTTGCCTTGTGTATACTGGGTCGGAGAGCTTTGGGAACTGCATCTCACAATATGGCCATCAGGTAATCTTCAGGAATCCCTTTTTCCTCATGTTAAAACAAAGACCTTTGTATTTTTTCACATGATGTAGGATCTCAAGAGAAGATTAGATCAAGGTGAAATCTCATTCCTCCATAAAATGTTTTCTGTCATCCCTGGTCATCTTTTTCTTTGTGGTTGGCTAAATAACTAATGCCACTCTTTATTTCTGTAGGGCAAAGCAGAATTTTTGATTGAAAGAATGGGTGCCAATGGTTATTGCTTGTGTTCACTCATGCCTGGCTACTGGAATGCTGTCCTTCCTCTGGCATTCCAGTAGAAGCAAGAAATCTACAGAAGAGGAAGAAACTGCTGTCATCTGAGTTGTAGTTAGCTAAATAATAATAAATGTGTAAGGGTTCTCCTCTGTATTCCTCAGGGCTGTATTCCTGTTCATTGTGCCACTTCATTCTGGCACCTAAGGAAGGGAGAACTTCTCATCTCCTGAGGCTGCAGCTTTGTCTGCTCTCAGTCTACCTTGCTCATTTGTTCATTCATTCTAAACACTTCTTCCTAGGAACTCTGGTTAATTAAAATATGCTTCATTGAGATGGTTTCTAAATATGCTCTTCAACTTATATTTTCATTAGGGATTCTTCCATTTTCACTGGGAGTTCTGAGTTGTTTGGGTTTTATACAGTATAATTTACACTGTGCTATAGATGAGGCATTTTATTAATGAAATAACGATTATTTTAATTGAGTTTAACTTCCAACATAATTTTAGGCGTTTATTACATTTATTTGAACCCTCTGTGTGCACAGGAGTTTAGTAACAATGGAGAAGCTGAATAAATACAGCTTCTAAGTGACCTTGCTGTGTTGGCACAGAATGGTGAGCAAAGCTACCTAGACCTCTATCGACATGCTCCTTAGAGAGGATTTGTCTTACTAACAAGCAAACAGAGACAGCATGTGTGATTTTGAATGCCTTTTGTTAAAACAGTCTTTTTAAATATTCATTCTAGCTTTGTTATCTGTTGGGACATTTATAACATTTTGCTTTATGTCTTCCATGCAAAATGTTTGTGGCTCACGTGGCTTATTTCTTGTTGTGCTGCTGATTTCTGCTTTCTAAAGTGGCTTTTGTCATCTCTTTTCTACTAGTCTTTGCACATTCCCTTCCTATAGTAGTTTTTTTCTAGGCTGCATTTCTTCTCCCTTCATTTCTATTCACTCAAATTAGTGTGATGTTAGGTGAATCATTGGTATTTTTTAAATAGTCCTGTTTTTTTGATGATCAAAATTTTAGAGTTTGGGAGCATGATGGGAAAGTTTATGTGCATTTATGATATTTGTTTGAGAAAAGATTAAAGTGACTTTTGATCTGTGCCTGCAATAGATAGGTCACAGCGATATTAGGAATTCATCTGAAAATAACATAAAAGCTTCCTAAAACTGTCATCACATTGCATGTACTTTCCATTGGATCTTAAAATCATTACAATGCTTTGGCCCTAGTACAGATACAATAACAATGTCCCCTATTTGTACTGGCTTACATGGTTAGCAGCGAATACAAAGGGATAATATTATCAGAGACTTTCCGAAGTTTAACATGGAAAGTATGAATATTGAGGATAATTATTTGTATAGTGTTCTATAAACATTTTAATAATAATTTCTGGAGTCAGCTATACCATGTCTTTTCAAAATCTGACAAATAGCAATGAACTGAATTACTTCCTTTCTTTTGATAAGTGGACTCTCCATATTTAAAAATACTTTTCTTGGGGAGGGAAGGGCTGCAGAAAGGCAAAAACTGGGGTAGTCATCTGAGGTGCACAGCTCTGTCCCCTTTTTTTATCTGTTCTATATAATCTTCAATTAAGCCCTGGTTTTCTTTTTAAGCCAGTGCTCCAGGGCAGTATCAAATCATTGTATTTTTAAAATGTATTTTGTGACATGAAAGGGACTAAGTGGAAGCTTCTGTTGGTATCTTTTCCAATGCTACTTCACAAAAGCTTTCCCTGGAAAAGTTTCACTGTGGAAAAACTATGTCACTTCCCCACCTGGCTAAATTACCTTTAGTGCATTTCCATTGTCAGACGAATCTGGAGAATTAGAAAGGAATCTGAGTAGCACAGTTGAAGTTATAAATTGCTGCAGCTACAAAACACAACTTTAGCTTGGTAAAATACATTTCTTGTCTTTCAGAATGTACATATCTTAACTGACAAAAACAATTTAGTAGGAATTATTAACTAAGGAGCAAGGTGGATACCCACCTCACATTGAGACCTTTATCAAGAGAAATATGCCAAAGACATTCACTTGAGCATGAAGGGCACCCTACTTAGAGTGTTTATTGCTTCAGACAGATCTGCACAACTTGTTTAAACACAAATGAGCAGCCAGTCAGTGAGACTCCAATAGGAATACAATTACACACCAAGCATGCCAGGGGAAGGAGACTTTGTCCAAGGTGTGCAATGCTGATGAGGCCAGAAGTACATGCTCCCGAGAATTGTCTTCAGGCACTCCTCTCTCTGTGGTTGGCAGAGCACAGCAGCTCTCAGCAAGGGTGATCTCGAGTGTTCTGCTGGTCCTTGCCTCCAGCTCTCACACTGCTGCAGGTCGGCATTCAGTCATGAGGCAGAGGTACTTGAGGTCGCCAGAAGTGGGAGGAACATTTCCTTGAGTGATGCTTCACAGTCCTTTTCTTTGAAAAGGTGACACGATATTTTGGGAACCCAGTGGTGATGAAGAGGGTTTTCGTTTTCTCAGGAATGGTCAGAGCAGGCAGTCCCTCCGCCAGATGTGTGCATGAGAGGAAGATGTACCACATGTATGAGGTTGGAACTAAATGATCTTTAAGGTCTCTTCTAACCTAGGCCATTCCATGACCCTGGCTGTTGGGGTGTGGCTCATTTTGTCAGAGCTCAGGGCTCCTAACATGTTTTATCACACCCAAACGCTGGATTACAAAAATAGAGATATAGAGATTTAGATTACTCTGGTAAGCCCTGAGAATTTACCTTGAACATCATCTCAGGACTTTCTATTAACTTTCTCTGTGGAGCATCTTGTGTACAACATTGCTAGAGCAGTTGGGATGAGTTTGAGGTGTAAGGGTCAGGTAGGCATCGTGCTCTTCTCAGTGTATGAAGCGTTTCAGGTGTTCAGTGGAAGCAAACCAGCCAGGAATCTGCTGTGCTCTGCAGTTCATGTTTCATTCTCGGAGGTGACTATGCAGATAGAAGGAAACTTCCTCTGGACTAAATCTAGTCCTTGCTGTGTCTTGGAGGAGTGACAGTCATCCAAATGCTGTGCAGTGGAGCAAAGGTAATGTTACCATGGGCTGTGCACTACAGAGTTGAGAGTCAAGTTTACATTGTGTATGCAAACTATCAATTTGCACTCATTTACACATGATTTTGTCTAATCTATTAATCAGCAAATGTCACTGTGTAAACCAAGATTTTAAATGCTTTTATATAATGTATGTAAATAATTATTCACTGTACCTGTTCATGTAAATGTCAGTAGAAACCTAGCATTAACACTAGATTACATAATAAATGTGTTCATTAAGGAGGCAGAACATTGCAATGCAAATTACTTGCTCTTTTAAACTGTCATTAGCAGGCATCCTGCACAAAATGCAATTTGAAGAATGACATGACATTACCATTAATTTATTCAAATATGGGTGATATGTTTAGTTGTGTACTTGTTAAAAATTACAGAATAATTCTATTCAGCTACTAAAGCTACTAGTAAAGAAATATTTGGTAAAAATTTCAAATTTGGAAAAATACAAGTGTCTCAATAAAGCGTCTCTCATCAGATACTTCCAACACTACCAAGACTGGCTGCTCAGGTTCTCCAAGCTCAGTTTGGACAAAGGGTCATTCCAAGGAATGCCTTTGCCTGAGGAACTGCTGCTCACTTTGAAACCCAGGGAAGAAGCTGGCCCCACTTGTCTCTTCCCACCTGGTCACCCCACTGCACTGCCCAGCATCTGAGGGAAGGGTAGACACAGAGGGCATGGCCATGGCACCACAGGGTGCTGCACTGCTGGTGCTGCACTGCTGGTGGGTGTCCAAGCAGACAGTGCAACTTGATGTCTGCCAGAGCTGAGCGGGGCAGAAAAGTTTGACTCTTAGCTCACAACCACTGTCATCTAAAATATCCAATTAGAAGGGCTACCACTGAAAATATTTCAGGTGAACTGTGACATTCAGGTCATTACTAGCTCACAGACATGCCTGTCCCTTTATTCCTTAAATAAACCTACAGTTAACATTGGAGAAGGTCTGCAAATACACACAGAGATATCCAGCTCATTAGTCTGCATCCATACTGTTTTCAGGCTGGCACTAAATGCTTTTAGTTTCAGCTGTCAGAGCAGCATAAGGATTGCAGTAGGAGGGAGTATTTGCTTTGGCACTGTTGCCCTCCCTCTGGTGTTTGTGGCACTACTTAATCCCCTCTTTTCTGCATCTTCAAGGGGCTGACGGTTCCCACGCACCTACCAGCCTTGTTCTAAAATAGCTTGCAGTTGTGACAGCAGCTTTTCAGGTTGTTAGCTCAGAGGGTTGGAAATGTTGCCAGATAGCGTAGTTATGTCTCTTACAGATTAATGTTGTTTTCTTTGACATGTAATTTTACCTTAACTTGTTTTTAAAATATTTTGAACCAGCCTGTAACTACAGCAGATTACTAATTGAGGTATGTTAAAAGTGGGCCAAGAAAACAGCAACAACCTTGAGTGAGGCCTGAGATCAAAGTGGTTGAGAGTCAGGCCTGAGATCAAAGTGGTTGACTTTTACAGCTTCGTAATAATCTCATTAGTGTCTTCAGCAGAGAGCATAACAATGGGAAGAATAACAAGAGCTGTATCTTATATGGATTAAGGAGGCTGCGTGTTACAGAAGTAATGGCTTGAGATAGTGTCACATTATAGGCAGAATGTACCCAAAAGCCTCATTACAATTGGCAGGAGAATAAAAGATGCCCATGGTTTTGTGAATACAGCAATCTCCTCCAGACCACTCTGGTGGAAAATACAATACATAAAATAATTGACTCTCAGCCTCTCACAACTACTGCCACCACTGATTTGCTCCTTGTAGCAGTCATGTTTGTTCTTAAAAATCCCCTGAGTTAGAGAACTTATTATGCAGGGGGATGCCAAATGGATGAGCCTCCCCTAAGCCCAGGGAGAGCTGTATACGCTTCTCCTCGCTCCCTCTGCTGATGCTGGACTGCAGTTTGTATGGCTGTCCTAGTCCTGGCCATGCCTTCAGCACATCCTGCTGTTCACAGCAGCCTGTTTGGCTGGTGCTGATGCCTGTAAGGCACTTTGATGTGGATGCAAACTCTCTGTCTGCTCTGGTGTCCAGATTTGACTCAGAGAGCCTCCCAAGATGTAAAATCCCGTTCTCTCTCCTGCCTACTCCTCCCTTTGTCCCAGCCAACTTTTCAGAGCAAATACAGGGGGTGCTATGTGAGGAGAAACTATGCTACAGATCATCATTAGATGCAGCTTTTAACATTTCATCCTGGGAAGAATATTTAGGTACAGAAGTTGTTTTGTTTGGTTTTTTTTTCCAGGCAAGGATTCAGCTGTGTATGCTGATGTTGTCTGGTGGGTGGGCAAGTGAGGGCAGCCTTCCTGACATGTAGCTTTTTCAAAGGGGGTGACAGTCACATATTTCACCATGCTGGCTGCACTCACCATTCTTCCCCCATCCTCGTTCTAGGGCTTTCCTAGCTATTAAGCAGGGTTTGAGTATATTATCATTCTGTGGAGATGATGGATTGAAGGTCAGTAGGGACCAGGACTCAGTCCTTAAGGACACATATGAACTCCCACTGAAATCAGTGCTTGCATATCCTGAACATCTGAGTGTCTGTCTCACATAGGCATATTTTAATACATAACTTAGACACTAATAAATGCAAATAAGTTAAAAATTCATAAAAATTTCTCTGTACTCTTTATGTTCCCAGCATGACAGCAGCCCTGCCTTTCTGGCTAGTTTTGGTCCCACTGCTTAGTTGATTTGTATTACATGATGCTTTCATGGAGAAAATCAGTATCAAGTTGTTTCTCTGGTAACAACATATGTATTTCCACTTTAATTTCTAAGACATGCTACCCACCAAGAGCAAAATTAGAATGCCTTTCAGCTGAAGCTGGCCAGGCATTCTCCCAGTCTCTTCTTCATCTGTCTGAGAAGAGAATATATTGAAAAGATTTTTTTTCTTTTTTATAAGATAATTAAGAAAGCTCAATTATGTGGAAAAATTATGTGTCCTCTAGAGAAAGGCTGAGCAGTAATGAAAACTACTAACATCTTAATACAGCTTCTCCCCTGAGTCTTTACAATCCAAAAGATCAATTGTAAGAGTGAGTAGAATCTTAGCAGGTAGATGAAACTGTATCCTGTGGGTTTTCAAGATATGCCTGTTTTTAATAGATGGTTGTGTTTTCCTTAATTTTGATATCACTTCTTCACAGCACCATTGGGACACCAGTCACCTACAAGCATTATACAAGTGACAGTGGCATAGGAGTTTTGTAATTCAGGGTGCAGATCAGAGCTAAAGGGTCATGGTTTCCTTTCACAAAGTTCTTGCACAACCATCTTCTAACAACTACCTGATTTTGTAGCTTTTACCTTGTGTTTATATCTCACAACCGGGTAAACCATCATGCAAGGCCAGGCAGAACTGCCTGCATCTAGTTCCTTATGTTAGAATAAAGAAACCCAGTGTGTATTTGCTTTAGGGCTCATTGTTTGACTAGGAAGCATCTGTTGGTTGATTCCTGCTCTCACCTGGTTTGCTGAACAGCTCTGAAATTTAGTATTCTCAGTATATCTGCTTTAATATTCACATTTAGGTTTGAATGTTGTGAGAAAGGTCTTAGATTTCCTGAAAGTCTTTTTTTCTATTATTATTTTTCACTTACAAGGAGAAGTGAAGTGCTAACAGGACTGATCAATAAACTTTCAAATAAGGAGGCAGCTTCTGCTGGCTGCACAGGGAGTGCAGCTGGCACTCTGACCTGGTCTCTTTGGCACAGCTGCAGAGAAGCAGCAGTGCCCTAAGGCACCCTGTGACTTAGTCACCCATCCTGAGGGCATCCTTCATTCCATTCATCTCATAGCCAGTCATTTACAGAGCACACAAAAGGAAAACTGCCTCTCCCAAGGAATGTTTTTTTGTCAGAGAAATGTGATGTGACCCCTGCTTTACACCCACCGCAAGCACTCGCCGTGGGCTGGAGGGTCACCTGTCACTGCACGGGTCAGCACGGGGCTGGTGACTGACAGATCTGGCTTGGAGAGATGGGAATGGCTTCTGGGAGTGACTGCTGCCTTTCTCTTACAGCTTGGATTCCTTCCTTTATGGGCTCCATGCACTGTTTAAAGGAGACTTCCGCATAGCAGCGAAAGACGAGTGGGTCTTTGCAGACATGGATCTGTTGCATAAGGTTGTTGCCCCAGCAATCCGAATGTCTCTGAAGCTACACCAGGTGGGGCATTTATTTATGTATTTATTTTTAACATTTACTATTGTGTCTGTTTTCTTATGAAAATGTGAAATACTTTAGCAACTGTCCGAAGGAGAAAAAAAAATAAATTAGGTATTTGCCACCTTATTCTAAGAAACATCCTTCACCAAGATGGAAGAGTTTGAACTTATTTATTTTGTATTCACTTGATGTTCTTTTCTGAAGCCCCTGCCTGCCCCGTTTGAAGCCACTTTGCAGAGCTTGACCTTAACCTTTTGGGGCTCCCGGCCTCCTCCCTGTCATGGCCTCCCCCTCCCCCACCCAGACGCAGCTGGGCAGGGGAGAGGTCGGACCTTACTCACCCACGCCAGATTCCCAAAGAGGAAGTTCTTTGGGAATCTCCTGCTTTTAACCCCCGTGTGTTCTCAGAGGCGTATCCAGACTCTTAGTGGCCACATCAAATGCCAATTTTGAATTTGGCCACTGATTGGCCGGACTTAGACTTTTCTAGAAACACATTTCCGGCCAATCCACGACACCTGGTTTGCTGAACAGCTCTGAAATTTAGTATTCTCAGTATATCTGCTTTAATATTCACATTTAGGTTTGAATGTTGTGAGAAAGGTCTTAGATTTCCTGAAAGTCTTTTTTTCTATTATTATTTTTCACTTACAAGGAGAAGTGAAGTGCTAACAGGACTGATCAATAAACTTTCAAATAAGGAGGCAGCTTCTGCTGGCTGCACAGGGAGTGCAGCTGGCACTCTGACCTGGTCTCTTTGGCACAGCTGCAGAGAAGCAGCAGTGCCCTAAGGCACCCTGTGACTTAGTCACCCATCCTGAGGGCATCCTTCATTCCATTCATCTCATAGCCAGTCATTTACAGAGCACACAAAAGGAAAACTGCCTCTCCCAAGGAATGTTTTTTTGTCAGAGAAATGTGATGTGACCCCTGCTTTACACCCACTGCAGGCACTCGCCGTGGGCTGGAGGGTCACCTGTCACTGCACGGGTCAGCACGGGGCTGGTGACTGACAGATCTGGCTTGGAGAGATGGGAATGGCTTCTGGGAGTGACTGCTGCCTTTCTCTTACAGCTTGGACTCCTTCCTTTATGGGCTCCATGCACTGTTTAAAGGAGACTTCCGCATAGCAGCGAAAGACGAGTGGGTCTTTGCAGACATGGATCTGTTGCATAAGGTTGTTGCCCCAGCAATCCGAATGTCTCTGAAGCTACACCAGGTGGGGCATTTATTTATGTATTTATTTTTAACATTTACTATTGTGTCTGTTTTTTTATGAAAATGTGGAATACTTTAGCAACTGTCCAAAGGAGGAAAAAAAAAATAAATGGTATTTGCCACCTTATTCTAAGAAACATCCTTCACCAAGATGGAAGAGTTTGAACTTATTTATTTTGTATTCACTTGATGTTCTTTTCTGAAGCCCCTGCCTGCCCCGTTTGAAGCCACTTTGCAGAGCTTGACCTTACATTTTTCATCAAAAGAAAGCAGAAAATCTTGTCATATTTTACTTGTGTGGATACTATAAAGGTGGTTTCTAAATTGAAGGGAAATCCATTGATTATGCTGATTTCAATGCTAATTTCAGGTCCAACTCTGTATAGCTTGGAGTTGATTTTGTTCCTGCTGTGGCACATTATGATTTAGTATCATATACTTTTATCATTAATGATATTTATAATTGTTCTGGATGTTACTGAACTGCTGTGAATTTGTATCTGCTTCTTTGACACAATAATTTTATGATGTTATCGCTGGCCGTGGTGCTGCTGGATGAAATTTCAGTTTTGTGGTATTTGTTGATGGATTCCCAGTCTGTGCTATTGTTTGTGTTGTTTTGTGAATAAAAATCAAAATTTCCACAAGAACTGTGGACTGTCCTGGGTGATATCTGCCGGGGTCGGCTGTCAGTTGTCTCTGCCCCAGCACGGGAAAAGGTGGTTCTGGGCAGGCCGCGCTCTCGAAGAAGGAGTCTGGACTCTTGCTTTTTGGTCTTCAGTTGAGTTTATTATTTCTTATCTACAAAGTTTTTCTGTCTGTCCAGCCGAGGTCTGATCGGCAAGACAGCCAAAGGCACTCTCTCCCGCCCACGGGGCAGTTGTCTCTTTTATAGGTGTCATTTCTTTAGAAGGATCAAAGTCAAGCCACCAGGTACTTTTGGCAACATTCCAGGACCTCCGAGCCCCCCAAGGGTTGTCTCGGTAGCTCTGGACATCCGGAGTGATGTACTGAGTTCCCACAATATCTCTCTCCAACTTACCCAAAAGCTCTGCCTCCCACAATTTCACACTCCATTAAAAAAAAAAAAAAAAAAAAGATAAGCTGGTATTCTCCAAGTGTCTTTGTCCAGTGTAGTCATGAGACCAGAACAGGTTACAATAAAACTGAAATTGTACCTTTCTATATCACTGTTAAATGAACCTCCTAAAAGATATTCTTTATCAAGTGTCAAGTCACTTGGAGGGGGCCAGCTGTTTGGAAAGCCAGTATTTTGTTTACTCTCAATATTGTGTTTTCACTAATGTACCTGACCTGTTCAATACTTTTTCCTGTATGACCAGGACCAGTTCACGTGCCCAGATGAGTATGAGGACCCAGCAGTTTTGTACGAAGCCATCCAATCCTTTGAAGAAAAGGTTGTGATTTGTCATGAAGGGGACCCGGCCTGGCGCAGCGCAGTCCTGTCCAACAGGGAGGAGCTGCTGACTCTCAGACATGTGGTAGATGAAGGAGCAGATGAATATAAAGTTATCATGCTCCACAAAAGCTACCTGAGCTTCAAGGTGATCAAGGTACATATGCCATCTTTCTAATGCTGCAGTAATTTAGGGCTGTGGTAACTAATACTATTTCTGAGTAATGTGGCCGAAAGGAGAAGTTAATTGTAGTTTTTAAATCAGGGACAGGAGGCCAAAGGAGCTCTCTTCAGCTGACCTCCATTTTGCTATCCATGTTTGTGTCTCTGAAATAACATTCCAGGCTTTACCAGGGAGTAGCTGCAAAAGTTCATAAAAAGCTGTTGGTGCAAAGACATCATGATGTGTTTGCACACTCAGCCACTGCCATCCTACTTAGATCCTGTAGTTCTGCATCTCTAGTAACAACTGTTTTTTGCACGATCTGCATGTTTTAACTCACCTGCAGGTCAACAAGGAGTGTGTCAGAGGGCTTTGGGCTGGCCAGCAGCAGGAACTGATTTTCTTACGCAATCGTAACCCGGAGAGAGGAAGCATCCAGAACAATAAACAGGTGTTGCGGAACTTAATTAATTCTTCATGTGATCAGCCACTGGGATATCCAATGTATGTTTCCCCCTTAACCACCTCGTACCTTGGGACACACAGCCAACTGAGGAACATTTGGGGGGGACCTGTCAGTTTGGACAACATTAAAAAGTGGTTCAAATCCAAGTGGTTAAGGTAGGTGTTAAATTTTGGCTATGCTGATAAGAGACCCTGCAGTCTCAGTTTCCTGTATTTTCTGTTAAAAGAGAATAATTCTGTATTGTTATCTATGAGTAAAAAAATTAATTGCAAGTAATTCAGAATTTAACAAAATAGTGGTGCAAATAGAACAGAAAGAAAATCCATTAACTCATTCATGACAAAGCTTTCTACATGCTCAACAAGAGTCATTCAAGTCACACTGCACTACAGACACTTCCCCATTCCATGGAATTTCACTGTTTATGCCATCTAAATAAGGGTATCTTTTCTGTAACTCTGACCATGAGTAAATGTGCTGGTGGATTTTGGTGAGTTATGCTCCGAAGCTTTGGAAGTTAGATATCCGCTCCCAAGTTACTGTTCTTGACCAAAGCACACCTGAAAATGTTCTTGCTGTTCACCAAAACTGCCTGACTTCCCCCAGCTGTGCATGATCAGTACCTGACACTGCATCTCCCAATCCTGCTTGCACTTTTCACACAGCAATTCATACACCCTTTCCCTGCCCTCATTCCCTGCCCTATTGCCACTGTAGCTGAGGAAAGGCAGGGCACCATGGAGACACAGTGGGAGCCAGCTCGCATACCAAGACCTGTGTTAAAATGTCAATATTATATCTAGTGGCTTAACATGCTAGATTCCCACCGTGCTGCCCATCCCTCTCAACTGTCTCCAGCCCATTCCTCTTTGCTACTTGGTAACCTCATGCAGAAGCTAATCTTGGGAGACCACTGTGACATTAGATAAAGAGCCCTAAGGTTATTTCAGGGTTCCAAAGCCAATAAACACAGCGAAGGGTCATATACAATTGGCTTGTGTCCTATACAATTTTGTTCCAAGAAAGCTTGTCACACCATCATCTTTGCCATCTCGTAAAATATCAGAAGACCTGCAGCGGTGTCAGAGAGAACACTCTTTGAGGGCACCTAACACTGGTGACACAAATTTTCATGTGCAACAACCGTCTGACCCTGTGTGTGTTTCTGCAAACAGAATGCGAAAGGACTGCCATGCAGCAGCTCACCATGAGAGAGGCAATGTTGAAGAGGTGGATAGTGCAGGGGGGTCTTCATCTAGCAACAATTCCACAGGGAATTCAAGCCAGAGCAGTAGCTCACAGCCCACCAGGGATGGAACCCCTCAGCTGCAAACTTCATCTCAAGAGGTCCACCAGCGGGCAGGTATTTGCACAATTTACTTGCCTTTCTCTGGAGTCTTCTCCTGGGGGGTCACATGGGCAGATGCCTTTGGGGTGTCCTCAAATGCAGTGGAAAACTAATTTTAGAAAGAGAGTGCAGATTTGTCTCTCCTAATGACCAAGAACGTGTAGGAGATTGTGGCCTGATATTGTTCCAGGTATTTACTGTGAGGGTGTAACACAAATGTGATTTACCAAAGGTTCCACTGTCAAAGTCCATTATGGGAAATTTTTGGCCTAGCAGGTGCCACTAAGAATGCCAGAATGAGAAATGCAGATGGGAGGGAGTGTACACATGCCATGCAGGGAGCCTGTACCACAGTGAACCTCTGTTTATTGTTGGCTGGTAACAGCAGAAAGAAAGCATGCAAAAATCTTAATTATCTTGGAAGGACCATGGCAATTTATTTGAGGAATTGGTTTGGCTGCTCATCAGTGCATGTGGAGAACAAACAAATAGAAAATAGTTTCTTATGTCTATATAGCAGTTACCAAGACAAAATCAAATGTTGCCAATCATTCTGTCAGCTAACAGCTGAGCCCTTCCCAAATTATGGATTCAAAAGTGCTTCAGACATATTTGCAAGGTGGAACAGCCTTTACACTGGAAATATATGCTATGAGGGTGTAACACAAATGTGATTTACCAAAGGTTCCACTGTCAAAGTCCATTATGGGAAATTTTTGGCCTAGCAGGTGCCACTAAGAATGCCAGAATGAGAAATGCAGATGGGAGGGAGTGTACACATGCCATGCAGGGAGCCTGTACCACAGTGAACCTCTGTTTATTGTTGGCTGGTAACAGCAGAAAGAAAGCATGCAAAAATCTTAATTATCTTGGAAGGACCATGGCAATTTATTTGAGGAATTGGTTTGGCTGCTCATCAGTGCATGTGGAGAACAAACAAATAGAAAATAGTTTCTTATGTCTATATAGCAGTTACCAAGACAAAATTAAATGTTGCCAATCATTCTGTCAGCTAACAGCTGAGCCCTTCCCAAATTATGGATTCAAAAGTGCTTCAGACGTATTTGCAAGGTGGAACTAGTGGCCTTTACACTGGAAATATATGCTGAGTAATAAGGATAAGCAATTGTTCGGACAGTCACATCTAGAGGTCAATGGTCCAGAGTCCTGATGGACATCAGTGACAAGTGGTGTCCCTCGGGGGTCCATTCTGGGACCACTGTTATTTAATATCATCATTTAATGTCTTCATAGACAAAGGGATTGAGTGCACCCTCAGCAAATTTGCAGATGACACTGAGCTGACTGGTGCAGTTGACACAGCTGAAGGATGGGATGCCATCCAGGTGGACCTGCACAAGCTCAAGCAGAGGGCCCATGGGAATCTCATGCAGTTTAACAAGTGCAAGGCGCTGCACTTGGGTCAGGGGAATCTCTGGTATCAGCACAGGCTGGGGATGAACAGATGGAGAGCAGCCCTGTGAGAAGGACTTGGGGTTGCTGGTGAGTGCGAGGCTGGATGTGACCCAGCCATGGGCCCTCCCAGCCCAGAAACCAAACGTGTACTGGGCTGCATCCAAAGCAGTGTGGGCAGCAGGGCCAGGGAGGGGATTCTGTCCCTCTGCACTGCTCTGGTGAGACCACACCTGCAGTGCTGCCTCCAGCTCTGGGGCACCCAGCACAGGAAGGACATCAACACATTGGAGCAGGTCCAGAGAAGGGGTACTAAGATAATTACGTATGAGGAAAGGCAAAGAGAATTGAGTTTGTACAACCTGGAGAAGAGAAGGCTTTGGGGTGACCTAATTGCAACTTTCCAGAACCTGAAGTGAGTTCATAAGATGGAAAGTGATTTTTTACAAGAACATGGAGTGAACAAGGGGAATGGCTTCAAACTGAAAGAGGGTTTAGGGGTTTAATTGGATATTAGGGGGAAAAAACCTGTACTGTGAGGGCAGTGAGGCACTGGATCATGTTGCCCAGAGAAGTTGTAGATGCCCCATTCCTGCAAGTATTCAAGGCTGGGTTGGATGTGGCTTTGAGCAACCTAATCTAGTAATAGGTGTGCCTGTCCACAGCAGGGAGGTTGGAACTAGACAAGCTCTAAGGTCCCTTACAACCCAAACCATTCTAGGGTTCTAAGTTTGCCAGTGGGTGACTGAGATCTATCACTGTGGGCTCAGCACTTGTAATGTAAAGCCAATCAATTCTACATTTCAACAAGCTTGTGACATTATTGTATAAAGCAGAGAACTTGAGGGGTTTGACACTTGTTTGCTTCCTGTTAGATCATTTTGACCTATCATTAAAGATAATAGGCAGAACTGGAATAAATCTTGCCCTGAATATAAATTACATTGCAAGAATAAAATAACTGCAGCTTTTAATTGTGTCTAGTGTTAGAAGAATCCCCATGTGCATACTCCTAACTTGACAAAACAGTAATCAGAGTAGCTAACTTAATTGTGATATAATGATCCTGAGCATACCATACAATAAAGTAAGTTAATTGTGAGTTGTTGAAAAGAACATATTGATTGGATGCCCAGAAAAACATAATCAAGAGAGAAAGTCACACTTAGATAAGAAAAGCAACCTGGCTTTTGTTAAGACATGCACAACAAATCCAAGGAAATGGTAGCAAATAGAAATCCATATTCACTCCTAATATATTGTAGAAAATGAAACAAGAAGAATTTTTTGGCTAGGGCCATTAGAGACAAAAAAATGAAAGTGGGGCTTGTGGCTGTTTAGTTTTAAATAGTATTTAGAAGCAACAGAAGTCCTAGCAGTGGTCTTGATCTGTCACTGTATAGAAAGGCAGAGTTGCCAATATGCAGTATGCAGAAACAAGAAAATAAATGTCTGGTTTATTTTGGGAAAAAACACAGATAATGTATTTCTATGATCTGATCATGAAACAGTTCCTTCCATCCTAACAGCTACAAAGAACATGAAAGTGTGGCTATCAAAGCTATATGCTTAATTGAGCAAAACCAAATGACTCATTCAGGAAGGGTTTTAAGAGAGCTGGTTAAAAAACAAGCTCTGTTCGATCTTCAATAAGTATCAGGACATCAAGGCAATACCACAGCATTGGAAAAGAACTTATCTATGCCTGTTAAAAATCATAACACTGTTGTCCTGCCACATACAGTCCTAGTGCCCTAATTTAAGGACATTTTTGGTTTGGAAGCACTTCAAAGAAGAGCCAAAAAATGATCAAAATTCTGGGAAATACGTCCTCTATTGAAAGAGAAAATGCTTTCCAGCAATTTGTATTGTAAGAGATGCCTTGATTGTAGTCTGTAAGTGTTTACCTGGGTAACAAAAGGTGACCAAAGACCATTGGTGTCAGCAGACTTGGATGTAACAAAACTAAACAAATTCAGATTTGAAATCAAGAACACATTTTTAATATTAAGAGAGTAAATAAATAGTGAAAGAAGAGACTAAGGGTTAGTGTGGATTCTCTGTGACTGGAGATATGGGATGCATTTTTTAAAATGACAGTAGCAACTAATGAAACTGTACAGGAATTAATTCTGGGAAATCCTATGGCCCATGCTATACAGGACAGCAGACTAGATAATCATAGCAATGCCTTCTAGATTCATAATCTGTGCATCAAGTGCATTTAACTTCTTAATATTTCATACTGTGTTTTGCAGCCTGGTACCACTGAGTGCAAAATGCAATGAAAGCCCTATATTAAAGTGCAACCAAAATCAGGAGCACTGGAAACATGTGGGGCTCTCCCCCAAAGTTTCCTTATTTCATTATGCAGTTTACAGAACAGCCTTTGTTTTTCTAAGTGTTTTCAGGGACAGAGTTTTTTAGGCATAGATGTGGGTGGTCTCCTGCCCAATGCTCCAGCCACCGTGCTTGGGATGAATATAGAATACTTTTGGACAGGGGTCAGCTTCACGATTTAAATCACAGATGTTTGGCCACGTTAGCCACGGTGCAAAATAACACACCACAGCCCCTCTGTTCTTAATTCCAGTCCTTTCTTTTTATTTAAGAAAGGCAACCTCTTGAAATAACCATCAGATGTAGAAAGCAAAGCACTTAAGCAGAACCCCAGGGTTTGTCGAACCCGAATCCCTGCGGAGGCCAAACGTGCGCACAGCTGTGGACATGGCAGGCAGGCCTGGCACCCCTCACAGCCCATGAAGGACAGAGGACACTGGCAGAGCAGCACACAGGGGCCATGGAATCACAGAATATCCTGAGTTGGAGGGGACCTACAAGGACCATCGAAGTCTAACTCCCGGCTCTGCAAGGACCACCCCAAGAATCACATCCTGTGTCTGAGAGCGTTGTCCAGGAGCTTCCAAGAGCCACGTGTGTCTGTCCCATCATTCTCCAGCAGAGATCTTGAGGCTCTTATTAGTTAGGAAAATTATTTTTTTATTGTTTGGAGTATAAAAGTGGAGCTAAAGATACATTGTAAATGAGGTGTGAAAGTGTCCAACACTTGCCAAACCAACTAGTTTTTAGTGAGCTCCAGTTAGGTAGTAGCCCAGCTCTGCTCATCTGACTTTATGCCAAGTTACCTAAATTCTCTGCTTCAGCATTTGAAAAATGGGAATAATGATACCAGCCTCTGAAAAGCAGGTCTGTGGATGTAAAACATCATGTTTCAGCCATATGATGTAAATGGCTTGGATATGAAATTCTGCATTGCTGGAACCTGTATGAATTCAGCAGTCATGTTTTTAGAAGACAGTGTGAGATTTATATTCCTTTATGCCAGCAAAATTTCAGTATTTGGAGGAGTTCAGGTATTGGGGAAAACCAAAGCAAAAAGAGAAAAAAATACCAACAGCCTGGAAATGCCTGCCAGAAAAACTTGTTTCTGTGTTGATGGCTCTCAACAGATTTCCTGGCATCAACTCCCCACCCTACAGCTACAGCTAGGAAACCAAAATGCCAGCTTGTGTTAATGTTTGGAGTTTCCTAGAGAGCAAAAAAACCCAAGCAGGCACTTTTGTGTCTGGTTATTTGCTGTGTATGCCTGGGTTATAGCCTGTCTACAGAAACAGTGAACTCTGCTGGGGCCTGTGGCACACACCGACCCATGGCAGAATGCCTGAGTACAAGCTGGCCTCTGGTGAGTTCACTGGCCAGTATTTCATGATTGATTTTTCATTCTATGGCTGTTCAAATACATAAGCATGAGAAATACAGAAATAGTTTGCTTGAATGACAGAAAGTATTGGTATAAATGTTAAATATGGGGATGTACTTGTACAGGACGGATTTGTCTAGGCATGTCAGAATAGTTTATCTAATCTACTTCCTGTGTCCAGTGGTGGCTGCATTGAAATGCTTCCCAGAAAGGGACAAGAGTCTTATGTGGGTCTCATTCAGACCTCTAATAGTGTATCCTACATAAAAGCATAAAAGCATTCACATTTTTTCAAGACTGTGGTATACTGTAAATGTCTCTCCAGGAACTCAGAGTTTACTGTTAGTCTTAAAAACTGTCTTGTGGCTTGAATGCTGTATTCTTCCACTTGGCTGAATTTTCAAATTCTCTCTCCCCATATGCAGGAATAATTCTTTTAAATGTGCCATTGTTTTAGCATAGAGGTTTTTTGTTTTATTGTTGCCTTTAATTGTACCAAGCCATTTAAGGTGGATATTCAACATTCCATTAGTGTGGTTGTCAAAGGGGAGCAGAGTTACAGCAACACTATGCTCAATCATTCACTGGGCTGATTAAACTGTACGTAGCAGAACAGCTGTGAGCCTGTGATTAGAGTCCTTTGCTTGGGGTCTCTTCTCATTTCTCTGTCTTTTGACTCAGTGCACAACCTCCAGAGCTATTTTGACCAAAATTCAGAACACCTGTAGTGGAAAACAGAAAGATTCATAGGTTTAAGAGTTTGTTACTTTTGCTTTTCTTGGAGTTCTTATGCTAATAAAACCAGTGGTACTATGCCAACAGTAATATGTACACATGGGACACTGTCAATAGCATGGAGTTCATCAGAATGCCACCTGCTTTAATATATTAATCTTTCTTTTGAAGGCAGGAGAAAACCCAGGAGTCAGTCTGTCCAGGCACACACTGCTTTAAACCAAAGGCCCCCTGCTTCAAGTCACTCTGGACCAATTGTAGAAAGCCGGCAGCCTTTCATCCAAACGTCTACATCTGCCCACGAAATTGCCCAAAGGCTTTCTAGTAGTCAGCTATCATTCCACAACTCTGCAACATCTGTGTTTTCTCAGTCCCCTGCTGTTCCTGTTGCTGGCCAGCTGACTGTGCAGGACCGAGCTGCAGCAATGCTCAGGTCCAGCCTGGCCTCCTCCACCAGCTCAACTCTCAGCCTGCTGTTCGGCAAGAGAAGTTTCTCAAGTGCTTTAGTGATTTCTGGGCTCTCGGCTGCAGACGGAGGCAACACGAGTGACACACAGTCATCCAGCAGCATGAACATCGCCATGGGGCCATCTGCCAGAGCAGCAAGCCAGGCAGCTCGGGTAAGGCTGAAGCTCAAACAGCACTACAGAGTGTGAGTCCCACTCTGCTTGCCTGTCTGGCTCTTAGCTGTTCTCAGCACCACTGGCTTTCTTCTTTCTCAGTGGTCAGAGACAGTTTTTTCCAAAACCGTGTTGGGATTTTGGTATTTTTTGGGGATTTTGGTACATCACAATGAGACTCTTTAGTATTAGGGTGTCTGTGAGATAGTTTGTGAGTAACTGATAGGGGGACTGTTATGCACATGCCTGAAATTGCAAACTGGGGCAAAGTTGCTTTTCCTTTCACTCAAACCAGGGACTTCAGTTTCTGCAGCCCAGGTGATGAGTACAATCACTGCAGACTAAATAGCTCCTTCCTTGCCTGCTTTAAGTCCTATGCAGTGGTGCCTTGAGAGGCTGACCTAGAACAGACATTAGACAGCGTTAAAAGAATAAAGTAGGTATTTATTAAAAAGCCTTAAAGGATACACCTTGGCCAGTACAAGACCCTCGCCAGGGCTACACCCAAGATGAACCCAAAATGGATGACCAGTCACAAGGTTTCATGCTTTTACAAGTTTTTGGTCCATCTGCATATTGAGGTTAATTGTCCAATTACAGCTTCAGGTTATGAAGTCCCAAGCACTTTTCTGTTACTGTGCTCCTGAACTGTGTATAACTTCCCTAGTTTCCAAAGAGTTCTCCAAACCTCAAGTGTGAAAAGCTCCTTGGCCTCTGTGTATTTTGCTCTCAACCCAAAAATACCACGTGTGGTACAGTTCCCTAGAGTTTCACCACGAACTTCAACAGGAGTCAGCTAAATGTTACTTATCTTGGTCCCATCCTGCTTTGATACAGTAACAAGTATTAATATTTCTACACATACAGCTGAATATATCCAATGAGAAGGCACAATTCCAACTCTCAAGGGTTTATGACCTAATTTGCAAGAACTCAGCCACTATGTGGTACTGAGTACTAATGGTAGGATTCACCTGGTCAAGCTTTAAGCTATCTAAAATTTGGGCATGGTGTCTCAGTAGGTTGTTGTTGAGGCTTCTGTTTTCAGTGAAGAGACCTGCATCCACTTCATCCTTGGAGCTATTATGAGGAAATTCTCCCCTGGGAGACTTGTATCTCTGCCAACCATTGGTAGCCTAAATGACACAGCAAGACCACATGGTGAAGTTTAGATGAGGTGAATCCTGACCAAAGTGACTGCTCAGAGTCCAGGTGCCCATTTGATTGAAAGTGGTAAAGAGGAAGCGTTTCATTTCAATGTTCACACAGCAAAGTTCTGGAATGCTTTTATCCTAATGGACTCCTTGCAGTGGGGTGGCACTGTGCTTAACGTTTTCAGACTGATAATTGCATTCCAGTTTTGATGAAAAGGTTTCTTTGTAAGTTGGATTTAAAATCTGGTGTATAAAGCAAGCTCCAGAGCAACCCAATTTAACAACTTCGAAGTCAGCCCTGCTTGAAGCAGCAGTTTGGACTGGATGACCTCCAGAAGTCCTTTTCAATCCAAATTCTTTTACAGTTCTCTATACATGTACATCTGTGGTACTAAACCTCCAGCTCCTGGTTCAGCTTTTCCTTCCAAATTTATGCGTTACACAAAGTGTGACAAGTACCTCTTCAGAACTCCCTTGTGAATAATGCATGTTAAGAATCCCATGGAGTTTCACAGAATGACATCCCTACGTCAATTTTTAAGCTTTTTTCACCCGTCACTTCAAAAAATAGCTGAAGTGTTACTTAGAAATTTCCTAAACTAGTTGACTTTTTCTTTCTTACTTTCCAGCAAGTCACTGAGACCTGTGAGGCAACAGATACTACAGAAACAAGACCCCAGCGGGAGGCGGGTCCGGCCCATGCACTATTCATGAGTCGGAACCTGGAGTGCAGGAGGGCCAGCCAAGAAGACATGGCCCTGGAAGACACCGCTTCTCAGCAGAGCCTGTCTGAGGAGCAGTAAGGAGCATTCCTAGCACAAGGGCCACGCGCTTCTTAGCATTAAATACAGAGTTAGGTCAGGAAGATGCGCATGGGTTTAGGTTCTTTCCGATGTAATAAGCAACCTTCAAATGTTTATTTTTCTAACTTCCACATAAGAATATTACAGGACAGATGTTCTTCAGCTAATGGCCTTGGAATGGGTAGGGTTGGAAAATATCCTAAAAAACACACAGTGCCACTTCATCTCAGGTTCTTGTAAATCCTAGAACAATGAATACAACCTGTTTAACGTTCCTTCCCCTGGAATGGTTAGAATCACAAACAAATACAGTAGGAAATATTAATACAACTCAGTGAAAAGCACACAAAAAACATCTCTTTCCTGCCATAACTAAACAGCTGATTGCATGCAAACTAATTGAAATTTGGTATATAACATATAGCAAGAGGCAACTAAGAACAGAAGCAATGAATACATAAAAGGACAGTACAGTGTCCTGTAACATTAGAGCTAAATCTGATTTTTTTTTTTCCAACAGCAAATCTCATTTTTCTTTGATGTATTATGCGGGTGCTAATGCTGAATAGCGACACAGCCTCTCAGACTGATATACTGCATGCAGCCATACTGAAATATTGTGTGAACGAGCCACACTACACCAATTAACAAAAGTGTAAGAAGAGAAAGTATCCAGTGCATGGAAAGTCTTCAGAGTATATGGTGCACCTTATCTGCAAAGCAGCTTTGCATAAATTAGGTATTATCTTGTGCTCCTGTTTGGTTTACAGCAGTGTTTCTCAAATTCTAAGCAACAGTACCCTTAGGAGTCGCAAAAGGGCCATGGGGAATCCTCCTCAAGGACAAAGCAGGCTGTAATTACTGTCTGGAAGTGTTTATGTTAGGAAGGGAACAGCTAAATACCTTTAATTGCTGGACACAGCTCACTGTCCATAAACACTTGTAGCCAGTAATTACAAAGCCTTCTGACTTCCCTCCCCCAGAGAAAACTGAGCTGCTGCCAATAAAGACAGATGATACAAAAAGGGAGGCTATGCCTTCACATGGTTTGAAAAACACCAATTTACAGGAATGCATGACTACTTCGAAACCCAAAAAGCTACAACAAATCCTTCCTCTACTACAGAGTCTAAACAAACACACATGTGGTTTTTTTTCAATTAAAAAAAAAATTGCAGCTATCAGTGTCTTGCTGTTCCTCTTTACTGTAACTACCATAGATTGTTTCTAAATCTCAACACAATGATGTGCAGCCAGGCTGTCTTGTCCCAATTAACAAGATTTAACAAGAGATGCTGTAGCTAAGTCTCATTACTCTTAGGCAATACTCAGTTGCATTCTGAGCTTCCTACTGTGCCACACTTCAGATCTGAGTAGAACTAAGACTGAGTGAAAATAAAATGATCCAAGTATTTTGTGTGGCAGCTGTTTCTGGGTCTTCTGTTTGCAATTGTTTTCACTTGCTTTCTGCCTTACTAAATTAAGAAACCCATTCTTTTTTACTTCACTTCAGATCTTGATGAGTTGATTATTAATAAAGCTTAGCACAATCAAGGAAAAATTCTGCTCATGTTCACAAAGACAAAAGCAGAGTATGCACATACAGCCCTCTAGACACATGGTCATCAGTGCACTTCAGGCCCTACTAATGTCTCCTCTAGCATCCAGGTGATATGTGGAAGAGGAAACTGAATTCAGCTGCTCCCTTCTGACTGGCTGATGATAACTCCTATCCCACTGAAATAAATGGGCAGGAGATCTTTCTCCTTTTAAATGCCTTTATTAAGAAGAATCAGCTCAGGTGGGGAGAAATCGACGGGTCGCGCCCACGCCGCCGCTGCTCCCAGGCATGGCACGGAGGAGGAGGGTGATGCAGCTTTGTCCTCTGGTCTGAAGGTAGAGCTCGAGATTCCGTCCTCATGAGAAATTAGGAGATTCCACCTTTTTGTCCAACACCTCGGGTTCTCTTTCTAGTCAACATCTTTTGAGGTTAGGGTGAGAAGCAAAAAGGATCCAAGCAGGCACTGGACTACGCTCCCATCCTTAGACATCACCTAGGTCCCCTAGTTCTATGTTGGCTTGTTGATTTTAGGGGAGTTCCTGGAAAACTGCAAAATTTGGTGCAATGCATTTCTCATCTGCATACTAGCTCTGATGCCACTCCCAGTCTCCTGGTACCTGCAGGGTCCCGGTGTCATTCCCTGGCAAGCATCGGGGGGACAATGGTTAATCACCAACCATTAACAGGTAATTGAAGAAGAACTCTTTAACAATGAAGCTAACTTAACAGCAACTGGTCCAACTTGTTTTAACTCTGCAACCTTAAAAAAAATAGATAACTTTTTATTCATAACACCACCACACTGTTCATGAAGTGCTTAATTACAAATGAAGGATGGAGGTTATTGAAGTAGGCTCCTACTAACAGCCACCAGCCCTATTTCCACTTTGGGGGCTTTTGCATGGCAGTCCACAGGATAAACCATCACTGCTTTGTCTTCCTGCATGGAGGTAGGGCAAACAGGTGTCTCAAAAGCACTGAAAACTTTCCCACATTCACCTAGCATCACTTAGGCCTGCAATTTTCACATCTTTGATTTTGAACCAATTTCCATCAAAAACAAGTAATTCTGGTAGTCCCAATCAACCTAAATTATTCTGTGTATCCAACTCAAGCATACTAAACCAGATTGGGGAATGACTGCTCAAATTCCTTCAGCACCAACCACTGCTGAAAGTACTATTTACTTAGCGTGGGTTGAGGCCCAGTGACAGCACCTTCGCAAGACCCCACAACCTCTGGTACTGCATCCTAAAAAAAAATGCAGCTGCCTCACAGTTCCTGACTTCCCACTGTCCCCTGGAGCATAAGTCCTTGGGGACAGCAGTTATGCCATAAAGTCCAGATTCTTGCTGCACAAGGTGGCTGCCAAAAAGGGCAGGTTCTAACACCTCTGTGGAGTCACAGCGAGCAAGCACGGCAAAACAGGAGTCAAGGCAAGAGTTAAAAATCCATTCCTTTTTTGTAGCCACGTCTTACATAGTTTTTATTTTGCCTTAAAGTTGCTATTGTAGCATAGTGGGTTGAAAAAACCCGAGAGTGACCACTAACAAGCAAGTGTAACATAGGAAAAAAAGAATCAAATTGAGTACAAACTCTCCCATGTTATGTTTCTCTGTATTTTTGGAGATAGTCTGCTGTTATAGTAGTAAGACTACTGCTATAAGCATCAGTTTTAAATATGAGACAATCCTACAGAATAATCTGACATAATGGTTAGGAATAAAACCTGCAACTAGGCATGAGGTTGTATTGATTAAACACATCTTAGACTCCCCCATTTTTGCATGAGGTAGACATACACCCAGTGAACTCTTGATTGGGACAGAAGGTGCATTCAAGGGCTCTGATGCACACCAAGCTAATAAATAGGAACCTAACCTTTACACAAAGCCTAATTTGAACAATAAGCTGCTCCAAACAGCTCTGCATAATACCAAAAGGCACCTGAGTTCTCAATTCCAGTGCCTACATACACATGAAGGCTTTGAGTGACACTTCTACTCCTGAAAAACAGCTTGATACCTAACCTTACACACAATGTGCCTCAGAGATGCAAGATGGAAATACACCATTTTTGGAGCAAGTTTCAGCCTTTAAAAGAAAAGCAAATGCAATTTGCATTGCTTTTATGTAATCTGTGATCCTGCTGATGTGTTTCACAATGCTGAACACTGTTAAAACTTGGCCCTAAAGTTGCTCAGGCTTAACAGTTTGCCTACATGTCTGATCTCTTGCTACAGCTGTGATGCAGCAAAGATGCTGCCACCACCATGTAAGGATCTTTTACCAAGAGTTCCACCAGGGTTTTTTGCATCAGGTGATATGCTTGATTTTTCCAGAGCTGCAGAGGCCACTTACCTCACTCAGCCAGTCCAGAATGTTTCTGTTTCTACAACAGGAAAATAGCGACATTCCCATCTTGTTAGCAAGCTGAATGCATCCTTCGAGGAAATCTAGTGCTCAGTCCACAAGACCATTTGTACATGCAGTTCTTTCATAGAAAAGTCAGAAGGGATGAAGAGATGGAGGCCTTTTCTGCCTCCCACCAGCTTAACCTCAGATAACATGACTGCTGAAAACACTAAGAGTGATTTTATTTCACACTGCCTCAGCAACCAGAGAGGGACACGAACAATACAACAGGTTACGGGACGGATAATGAGTATATGGTAAAACAAACATAAACACAGTACTTCAGCCTTTGCACTGAGCACGGGATACTTACCTTCCTCACATTTTGTTTCCCTAGAATTTCCTTTCCCAAATAGATTCTTGTTTACATCATATAGTAAATGCCAGTTGCTACACTCATAATGGTGAAAGATGGAATAGGAACCTAACCTTTACACAAAGCCTAATTTGAACAATAAGCTGCTCCAAACAGCTCTGCATAATACCAAAAGGCACCTGAGTTCTCAATTCCAGTGCCTACATACACATGAAGGCTTTGAGTGACACTTCTACTCCTGAAAAACAGCTTGATACCTAACCTTACACACAATGTGCCTCAGAGATGCAAGATGGAAATACACCATTTTTGGAGCAAGTTTCAGCCTTTAAAAGAAAAGCAAATGCAATTTGCATTGCTTTTATGTAATCTGTGATCCTGCTGATGGGTTTCACAATGCTGAACACTGTTAAAACTTGGCCCTAAAGTTGCTCAGGCTTAACAGTTTGCCTACATGTCTGATCTCTTGCTACAACTGTGATACAGGAAAGATGCTGCCACCATCATGTAAGGATCTTTTACCAAGAGTTCCACCAGGGTTTTTTGCATCAGGTGATATGCTTGATTTTTCCAGAGCTGCAGAGGCCACTTACCTCACTCAGCCAGTCCAGAATGTTTCTGTTTCTACAACAGGAAAATAGCGACATTCCCATCTTGTTAGCAAGCTGAATGCATCCTTCGAGGAAATCTAGTGCTCAGTCCACAAGACCATTTGTACATGCAGTTCTTTCATAGAAAAGTCAGAAGGGATAAAGAGATGGAGGCCTTTTCTGCCTCCCACCAGCTTAACCTCAGATAACATCACTGCTGAAAACAAACACTAAGAGTGATTTTATTTCACACTGCCTCAGCAACCAGAGAGGGACACGAACAATACAGCAGGTTACGGGAGGGATAATGAGTATATGGTAAAACAAACATAAACACAGTACTTCAGCCTTTGCACTGAGCACGGGATACTTACCTTCCTCACATTTTGTTTCCCTAGAATTTCCTTTCCCAAATAGATTCTTGTTTACATCATATAGTAAATGCCAGTTGCTACACTCATAATGGTGAAAGATGGCCTGAAGATCTGGCAAAAAGACTTTCATTAACTTTTTACTAAAGCTAAGCACAGGGTGATGAACTGCTCACATCCACCAGGAACACTGGCAAGCCCCAGCCTGACCTTCAGCCCAGCTGTTTCCCACCACAGCAAGCAAGTAGGAACCTGTAATGGACGTAGTCTGCCAAGCACATTTCGGTTCATCCAAAAATAAAAACCACAGGTGCTGGCTGTTCCCTCCATTTTGTAGTGTCATGCAACTTCTCTGTGAGGAACTGAAGTTCTTGAAAAGTCTCACCTCATTCCAAATCTTAGTACTCACTTGACTGAAAACAAATCTCAATGAAAGAGACTTACCAGTGTGAATCTTTTTCCCTTGACTTGACGACTAGATAATATCTATGAATGACATTCTGACACTATTAAGTTCTTAGGACACTCTGTGATGTCATTCACAGCTTTTTATAAAAACTGCTTATTAGAATAAGGCAAGAAATGCATTTGCCTCCAGCCCACCAACTGATGGCTCTTCTCTTACTGGAAAATTTAAGTTAAAGATTAGCTGAATTCTGTGCAGCTCATTATAGAAGATTAGAAATACCAGTGAGATTCTCCAGCATGTGATAATCATCTTCTCTTCAATGCATTTTTTAAAAATACCCAATTATTGCCATATTTAGATTACTACCAGGATTAGGAGCTGGTACTTAATTACCATGTTTCACTAGTGCTTGTACATCCTTAAATCTGCAACACAGACATATTACTTATAATTAACTTTGCAGTAGGTCCGGTATCAAAGATTCACCTCTCTCACTCAGTTTTACAAGTCAAAAATTGCCTAATGCATGATAAATAATGTAGGCCCTGTTTATTCCATGCTGTGTGCAATTTTATGCTGGAATTACAAGACTTGTGCCAAAAACATCCTTGATTCTCAGGCTTCAAGACAGTAATTGGTACCTCACATTCACCCCTTTTTTACACCAATTAAAACCTGCAGGTGCACTAATGGTGTCATCTGGAATGTAGCTGGTACATCAGAGGTGCTTTTCACCAAATGTGTGTTATCAATAAAATCAGCCCATCAGGGGAATTGTGAATGCTTTGTTTGCTGTTACAGTGCTCTCAAGGCCTTCAAAGTATTTTACTAGTGCCAAGACCAGACAATAAAATTTTACCTTTAAAGTAAACACAGGTTGTCATAAAAACTTACATGCAGGTGGAAATACAATTTTCTCACTCACTCTATGTATATTTGAAACAGGAAAATTCTATCTTCAGGACCACCTGAGATTTAAAGGCCAGACATGACTGTTAAGGTCACCTACATTCTCCTGCTAAACACAGATCACAGAAACTCTCTTTATTTTCTCTTGAAAAGCACTATAGCTCAGAGAGAAAATTGGCTTAAAGAAATGACAACAAATTAATGACACTCACCAATCTTGATATAGGTAGCAGAAAATAAGATACACTGATGTCAGTAGCAAAAATATGCATTAGTTTAAAAAGGCTGCTATTTCACTCGGAGTTCCACAGAAGGAAAAATCCATGTGTATGTTCTAGTGACAAGCTAGCCTCAGTACAAAACCATGAGACAATGGACTAAAAGTACCATAGGCACTGGTCAAAAGTTTCCCAAACTTCTTCTTGTAATTGTTTGGGGTTTTTTTCCTTCCCACTGTACTAAATGACAGGACTACAGCAGGCATCATGGCGCTACATGCAGGGCAATATATCTACTTTTATGGGGAATAAACACCACTTTAAGTGATCTCTCAGCAATACTGACTGAACCGGAACTCAGAAGACTGACTCCTAACAGAACTCGCCTCTTCGGCCTCTGCCAGAGAAATGTCAAATCTCTCAATTTTTTATTTAGCTTTAAAGGTCACTCCTCATTTAAGACTCAACAGCAGTCCCACTAAAAATGTGCTAGATTTTGGGTAAGTCTTTAATCATTGAAAGAACTATTCTTTTGTAGCATACTTTAAAGCTTAAGAGACTTAACATTGAAGCAGGAGGGCATCCGACACTTAGGTGAAGAGAGGTTTCTGTTCAAAAACCTATGGCACACAACCCTGACAAGGGTACTTTGGTCCCAAGTCCTCCACATCTGAAAAAGTATTTTGTCTGAGTACAATGCCTGAAGTAATTAAGGGATTAGTGTGTCTTTACAGCACAACCTGATTTTGCAAATAGCAGCCACAAACTACACATTGCCAAGTGGAGACCCTAAGAGGAGTTTTATTTTTCCCCAAATATGGTGAAGACAGTACTACCATCTGAATGGATTTGGGCAGACAGGTAGTCCTAACAAGGCAGTGAGGGAGTGAGCCCACGCCATCATTTAACATGGCATGCACTTCCTACCACCTCTGGAGGTGCAGTGCTTGTACCAGACCCTTGTTCTGCATACAGGAAAGAAAAAGGACATTTCGCAGGGTGTGTATAAAAATACCTGTCCCCATCCAGCCCCATACAACTCTGGGTGTCAGTTTTACAGAAATAAATCAATAAAATTATACTTGAAGATGCCTTTAAATAGTTTGCTCAAATTAACAGTCATTGAACTGAACAGAAAAAGGTAAGAAACAACTGAATTTTTAACAACTTTCTTCAGCTAGAGATGACCATAAATTTTACAATGAACAGTGTCTACCTGGGAGGGAATTCTGTTTTCAAACATGCAAAACTGATTAACTGGCAGCAGTTTTGCTGAACACATTTGCATTCCTTGCAGGGAAACACATTGTCTAATACTCTCAAATACTTCTTATTTCACCATTAAGCATGTACAGAATTGAATAAGGCAGAAAAACTCAAACATAAGTATCAATAAACATAACAGATTGTAAAATTAATACAGACAAATGCAGTATTAAGTCAATCATGACTTCAACTCAGCATGAAAAACACAAGATTTTATTAACTTCATGGACTTGAAGATTTTTTTATATATTATTTGTAAGGGGGTGTGGGACAGAATTACCACCAGAAAACTGAAAATTAATACAAAATGCAGTCCTCTTATCAATTAGTAAGAGAGGGTAGATTTGGCTATTTTCCCTCCAAAACCAGAATTCTGTAAATGTCACTTGTGACTACAGGAAGTTTCCTTGAAACTCTGGATAACCCTGATTATACTGCAACTGCAGACAGGGCTGCCTGGGGGTAGGAGGAGAGAGCACAACTGCTTATTCCCTCTACCTGCTGATTTGTCAGCACCCGTGCTAAAACACACCTGAATACACCTAAGCTGGGTCACCAACAGCTACACTCCTGCATAAACCAGGCAGGACTCATCTACGTTTTGGACAGGGTTCTGTTCTGTTGCACCAGGGCTACGTTGCAGATATTGAATTAATCTGTAGGCAGATATTGAATTGATCTGAACATGCTCAGAAAGACTAAGATATCAAGCAGATTTTACAGTTAGTTGTTTTCACATGAGGTAACTCGGATCAGAGTTGACCATCTAACTTCCAAACACCCAGATTAAAACTGGATGTTAGCTACACATCTGTTCATTTTTTTCCAATTCAGTGAACTGAATAAATTACAATCCTGCCATCCCATTTTAGTATTACCAGCTTTACCCTGCTTACGCTGAAGGCTCCAGTAAAGCTTTGAGGGGGCAAAAGCAGGAAGGACAGACTCTAAACCATCCATGAAATGTTGTAATGTTTTGTTGAAATGAAAGCTTTAGTGTTTACAGGACAGAAGAGGTCTTCATTTTCTGCAGGATTCTACAGCTGCCAAGATGTCTTGCAAAATGCTGTTTCTGTTTTCCTTACTAACCTAGAGAAAGAGAAATTAAAACGGATGTAATTTCATGAATAGCTTCTATACAAATGTTTACTTCAAAAACAAATCAAAGCAGAAATTCCAATGCATTTCTTTTTCAGTGCAGGAATGTTGAGTGTCAAACACCTGCCACTGAGAACACAGTATGCTATACCCACAAAAGCCGCAATTGAATATTTAGTGATCTTTTGATTTAATTGCCAGTGGTATTTTGCAGTATTATTCAGGACTTGAGTAACTAACAAGAATCACTCAAATAACCAGCATGTACTTTTGTCATTACTAGAAATCCTTTTCAACTACCAAATTTAACTTTCCTAATATAAAGTGGAGTACTTATGCCTTCATTACTTGAAAGGGATGTATTTATTAAGATGACAGACCTAGTGAAAAACACTTGCAAAGGAAAAAAATTAAAACAGTCTTAGCAGCATAACTCTGTACTCTGAGAAACCTTATTGCTACACGAAAGAAACACCTTGGAAAAGGAATAAAACTATTTGAGAAAGCTGGGCTGTTCTGTAGCACACTGAGAGATGCCTTTGGCTGACCAGCCCATGGGAATGCTGGGCTTTAAGTCCAGCATATGTGAATACAGATGACTGTAAACTGCCAAGCAAGTGCTGGTGCTTGCTAGTCAGCTCAGCTGCCAGGGACACAGAGCTGGGGGCTGTGTGTGTGTAAATTATTCCTTCCTGACAGACTGGGTCCTGATCCAGAGCCCTGTGACCCATAGTGCCATGCATTACTCACTCAAACAAAACCTGGGGAAGTGACTGGGGTTGTAAAGGGGTAACAAGCAACCGTGAAGCATCAGCAAAAGCTTCATTTTAAAAAGTCTAAGAAAGTTTCCCCATTGTTCAGATCCCCGCAGAGAGGACAGGAAGAAATCAGACAAAGACACATGAGCAGAAAAAATAAGTAAGGACACTCATACAAAGTTGTACAGAAGCTGTTTCATGAGGAAAGAGACACAACACCATGCACAGCATAAAACTCTCTACCAGCAAGGTTCCACTACACTCCCTGTATCTGCATTTAGGATGTGAACCCAAGAGTTTGTATCCTTTCCAGTACTACAGTCAATAATGAACAGGAGAAAGTATTACTATTATTATTATTGTTGTTGTTAAATAGGTGACAGTTCTATCTGAGGAATTTGACCCCAAGGAGCTACCACTATTTCCAGTCACCCACATCCTATCCAAGTACTGTAAACCAACACTGTAAAACCTACAGCCAGTGGTTTCACCTACCAATGAATTCAAGACAGCAGATCAACATAGGACTAATGAAAAAGTGAAAAAAAAAAAGGACAGGGCGGGGAGAGTAACAAAAAGGAAGATCTGTCTGAAAATGTCACTGTTTTTACTGAGAATCAGTCCAAGCTTTATAAGATAAACAGAAAACCCCACAAAAACAAAGAGAGCAAGACAACAAAGAATGCTCTTCAGTAAGGCTATTGGGATCCCGAGGTAAACAATACACAGTATTGATGAGCCCCACTAAATCTCACAGCAAGTGTACTGTTATTCTGACTTTCAAAGGACCTTCTGCACATTTAATAGCTCTTCCCACTCCCTCACAGCCAACAGAAACAATACTACATTTTATCTATCCTTTTTTCCATACTTATATGCCAGAAGTCCAGTGAGAGCAGCAGAGAGAAAGCTCCAAGTGCTAGGAAATTTTCACAACTGTTTTATAAAGGCTGTTTGATAGATATAAGTCTCCTCTTAAGATCTGGAGACATTCAATGCAGGCAGCTTTCCCGGAGTGAACAAATCTCCCAGTATCTGTACTGAATGTACAAACAGATGGGTATGTTTTTAGAAAGGAGTTGAAGATAACTGTAGATGCTGCTTATATTAAGCATTTATGTAATTTGGAGGAAATTGCCACCTAGACTCCAAGCAGGCAACTACAGAGGACAAAAGCTTTCTTCCTCTAACTGTTAAAAATACCATGAAGGAAACCACTTGCATACAATCTGTTCAAATGGAACCTTTTCTTCTCCCTATCCATTTAACTACTTTCTTTCTTAATAGGCATATGCAACCATACTTCACTAATGGGTTTCATGCAAGCAAAATTAATAGATGGGAAAATGGGAGAAAATTAGTATCTGCCAGCTGCTAAGGATAACCTGATCCTATTCACGCTACTATTTCTGCAAAACTACACAGACGCAGACAGTGCAAAAAGAGCCTCTGCAGTTTCACTGGAAAGTTTAGTTCTCAGCAAAATGGAACTGGGTAACAATACAAATAAATGTGTTAAACATCAGAGCTCCTATCACTAAGTGCCCTAAACATAATAAATTAAACATTTGGGACCAAACGCTGAATTGCTTTTAGGGCATCTGGGCCCACTTACACCAACAAAATATGCTTTCAAAACAGAAGGGACTGTAAAACACCAAACAGCTGTTCTCTCCCCAGAACTGTCCTTGTGACATTAGGAACAGGATGAAAAAACTGAGATGAGCTATTTGAATGCAGCCTAACTCCATATTAAGCGACAAAGCAGGCAGAATGTTTTTGGAAGTTAGCCACCTACTTCTGTACACTTGCAGGCACCATACAAGTTAGTAAGAAATTACTGACTGTGCGCTATTTGGGCACTCCAGGTTTCCCCATGCCACAGCCCTTGAAGAAAACAGCTGGTGACCCACTATCCACTTCAGCTACTAACACCTCTGACTCCCCACGGGCAGGTTCTGGTCCTGCTCATGCACACATTTGAACCAGCTGGGAAAGAGCATGTAGTGTGACACTGGAGCAAGAGAGACAGATGCTCTCCTGTACAAGACTTCAGCTCAGCAGGTCTCTGACACCTGGGAATGACTGCAGTCTGTCACACATTTCACATCCATGCTTTTGGTTAATGGATTCACCAGAGGTATCTATTTAATTAAAGAAACCTGCACACCTAATCTCAGCAGTGTGAACAGGATGGGTCATTGTTTCAGTAAAGATCTTTTAGCTAGAGAAAACACTGCTCCATTGAAATTTACAGAAAGACTTTTGCTGGCTGGAGTCAGTACTTGAGAGAAAGATTTATCAGCCGACTGATACAGCTGAAAACCCAGGGCTGAGTAGCCCATGTCCTCTGAATAGCACCTGATAAAAAGAGACAGTAGAAGCCTCAAATCTTCCTTGAAAAGCCAAATGCTGTCTTCTAGCCTTATTTCCTCTCATGAGAGGACCAAATGCACGCACTGTGTCCTGCTATGACTGCAGCCCAAGCATTGAATGGTGACTGGTACTTTCAGCAAGGCTTCTCCATCCCATCTTCCCCAACCCTACCCCAGTAGGGTTGTAAAGCTACTCATACAAAATTTACATTTATGTGCATTTCTGTTCAACAGCCTGACTACAAACACACATCAGCTCAGTAGCAGAAAAACCTGGGGGTTTATCTCTGAAAGAAGTGAAGAGAGTTGAATGCTTACGCAAAGAAAGGAATAATCTCTCATCTTTGCTCCTACAGTTGCTTTAGCATTTAAATAAATCAGCATTTAAGGTAAAAACAGAAACTGAAGATGACGATGGGACCCTCAATTAAAGTAAAGCTGAGAACTTTGAAAACTTTGCAAGTTTTTAAGCCAGCTTTGAATAGAAAACAACATAAATCAAAGGAGTGGGAGGTGCCTTTGTTTTTTGTGAAGCATCGAGGACACTTACTGATGCTAAGGAAACCTCACATATGCACTCCTAGAACAGGCTAAGTTTTGCTGTGGTAAGTTTTTGAGAACTGCCCTGTAACTGATCAGAAATTTACTCTGAGGCCCTCATATTATGAAAATTATGCCTGTAAAAGTAACATAATGAATTCCAAAACTGGTTCACTGACTCCAGAGAAAGTACACTCTATTTACAACTGCCTTTCTTCTATAAATCACTCCGCAAACTCCACTGCTGCTTTTTTCCTTTTATTTTTTCCTTGAATATGACTACTGGTAATATTTCTGCAAGCCAGTCTGGAAAAAAACCAAAAAAGCTTAAAAATCTGACTGTACTTTAGAAGATTTAACTCTTAGGAATAATGAATACCTATACAGTAATAATACTACAGCAAGGAAACCTTTTAAAATAACTATAGCATTACTTCTGCAGCCCCGCACAAGCAAAGCCAGCTGTGTGAGATGACTACAGTTAGGGCCAAATGGAATTTTTTTTAATAAGGTGAACACCTGCCCATTAAGAATAAAATGGAAACTAAAAAACCTATTTCATGCAAGCTACCCACAGCTATCAATTGGCAGTAACAGTTTTTAAACAGAGCCAAATATAATCTAGTAACCTAGAACAGAAGGCTCTTTAAGGATATTAAATGTTACTCACATTGAACACTTTAACATCTTTCCTACTTCTTATTTCTTCAACAAGATCCAGTGGCTTTCCCTTAGGTATTGGAATAGTTCCAAGCACCACGGTTCCTGAGCCAGCCAGCGTTTGACGAACAGCTTGAATAAAAGCCTGGCTGAAGAGCTCCATTTTACCAATCTCATCTATGACACAAATTCTTTTCTCTTTGTCACCACCATGGTTTACCTGTGGAAAAGTGCACCAAGAGACTGTAAACAGCAAAACTTAGAACAAGCAACAGACATAATCTCTATGCTGACAAAAGAAATACCTTCAAAAGAAACAAACTCAACTGTAATCCTGGGGAGAGCGGGAAGTCAAAGCTACTGCTGGTAAATGACAAACCCACAAATCTGTAATTTCTTTTTTAGGACAGATTTTTGGAAGGATGGAAACAACAATACAGTATAAATACAAAGTACAATAGGAAATATACTTAACATGAGATTTCTTTTAAAGCAGAATTCTCATACTAGTCCCATATGAGCTACTTGACAGTTAAGAATTACACTTTGCCTACAAGCAGCTCTCAATCATTCTGAGGGTCCACAATTTTTAAAAACTTTACTCTTCACATTAAATTATGCATGTAGTGATTACATTTAATTATGTGATCAGTAGTCACACAAAACAGATATCTAAAAAGGAAGACTTCCATTAAATCTAGATTTTGGAGTTTCTCCTCTTGTAGTTGGGATGATGGAGCATTTCACTCAGAGGTACTGGCTGTCTTAAAAGCTGTCTGGATAATAACCAAGCCATTTGCAAACCTCTCTCACATTAGAGCAGATACATATTGAAATATACCTTATTCTGTAGTCCTAGCCACTGGATAGTATGAGAGAAACAGTTAACCACATTTGAGGCTTCTGGTTTTCCCATAAAGGGAATGCTGTACCAAGCAGTGCCATGCTGTAGGTGGCTGGAGCAGCAGGGAAGTCCAGGAGAAAACAAGGGTGATTGCTATCGAGGAAAAGGCAGCTCACAAAGCAGAGGAACTCTTCAGCTGCACTGCCTACTCTATTTTGGTAAAAGTGACTGAGAACCGTACTCCATTATTTGTAGAAGTGAGGAGAAAATCAACTCAATTCAAAACCATTACAGACCTATGAATATGTACCAATACAAACCATATAATACAGAGAAAAAAAAAGAAAATAGATCGAAACATATCCCCTTGTGAAGGCAAAGTATTTGCTTCTGGGAAAGTGAAAGAACTGTATAACATGCATCCTAAAATCCTTTCAAGCTAAGTCCCTACTGAATAGCTGTTTTATCTAAAAATCCTTTCATAGATCAGTGAGCCAAAAAGCCAATACTAGTCACTAGGTCACATATTGAGGAAGCGAGTATTTTGCTTTGAAAAAAAAAACCAGAAAAAACTATCTGCCCTGCCTGATAAAAGTTTGCAGAACCGGAGAGATCTTCCACTGCAAGATCTAGCCCATTCTCACTGGAGTGAAACAAGCCTTAAGAGTTGAATCTGCCCTCAAGCCTAAATGGGCATGTGTCCATTCTGTGCTGCTCTCTCATCAAACCAGAACGTATCTATGATGCTGTTCTTCACTTGTCTCTCCTTGTTTCAGTTCTCTCATCTTCCTCACTCTCCTCTTCCATTTTGGGCCATCTTCATGTGTGACCACATTCCCACAAAACTGATAAACAGCACTTTCTATGAACATGGGCACATGCTGTGTGACTCTGCTGGCCCCAGTTCTTCTCTTCACTTTCTTGTACTTGCAGAAAGCTATGTAAGTAATGGAAAAATTCAACACTGCTAACACTTTTCTAGGAAGATCTCTCCTGGATTGCAGTGGTAAAAGGATTCCAAGTAGAGCACTGGCCTAATAAAGTATTTTTAAATAAACTATCTTCCTATTTACTAACTATCATAACTATTTACCTCCTATCATAAATATATGGTTACACTGAAATTTAACAAATAAAAGTTGTCCCATTTTTTTATTACCTCCCTTCTCCCTTGTCCCAACATCCTTGCTTTCCTACTCTCAGACTTTAATGTTCTTTGACAAAAAGAAGAATCAGATCCTCAATCTGATTTTTGCTCCTTGCACATCTTTGGGCTTTTTGTTTTAAGTTCACCAAAAAATCCCTTCTTCCTTGTCCCCTTGAGCTTTGGCAGTGTAGAAAAATCACAACAGGATTTTTTAGTAGTACAGTTCAGCAGCTGCTGCACACTGTTTATGCTATGTTATCACTGAAATCAAATATGTTCTTGTTTAATTTTGGAGAGGGGAAAGGTTGGAGTGAGAGAGAGGAAGGAGAAGAAAAAAGGTAGTAACAGAATATTAGCAAAAGGATAGCAAAAAGATTGTGTGGGAAGTCTTGTCACAGCCAGAACACTCCTTGTGCAGCAGGCTAAATCCCAAATAATCAGGCTGGTGTTATCAGTCTGCACGTATTTATACAATAGTAATCAAAAATACCCACTGCATTCAAGAAAAAAATGCTTCTACTCTCAGAAGATGGGAATCAGTGGAAGAGGGGGGGAAAAAAGTCTGCAAAGAAGAGCAGCAGCAAAAGCCTTTTTCTTAGACCCACTGATTCCATCCAGTTCTCTGTGGTAAGCCACTTGTGCATTTTGTTTGCTTTCCAGCATGAGACAGTGACATAGGAAGAAATTTCCTACCTGCTGTCTCTTCAGGTCAAGGAGGTCGGGCTGACAGGACTGCAATCTCTCCAACACCACAATAATCACAAGAGAACAAGCCAGATTTGCCACTCAAGCTTCCTGACCGTGACTTACTTCAGAACTAGCAATACCCAAGAAACAGGCCATTAATTAGTATCAAAAACTAGCTGTGTAAAAGGGCCTTCCAATAACACTGACTATCACAAAGCATACATTTATCAGTAGTTTTCATAGAATACTCACATTTCTCAGCATAGGTAGAACCAACTGCTCAAATGAAACAAGGTCTACAACATACTGTCCAACCCGGTATTCCCGTCTTGAAGCAGAAGAATCAGAACTGGGAGAAAAAGAGATACACAATTCCTTCAAATTCTGAGTTTAGTGAGAATTCACTGCAGTCATTTCAAGCAAATTTATAAGAAGTTATCCAAATAAATCAAATCCCCTTAATTCTTCCTAAGAAGGATGGGAAAGAAATTCTAAACCGTGCAGTAAGTCATACTGCAGATAGCTTGCTGTCAGAAAATAAATATTCCATATGCATCCTTCCCAACTTGAAGCTCAAATTTCAACAGTGTATAGAAGGAAAATGGCATTTAAAAGTCAGCAGGTATATTTACACTGAAATCAAAACTCATGTCTGCAGTTTAGATCTTTGAATTTTGTTATGTGACACTTCAGACAGCATCATAGCAGTATCATCTCAGTATGGACTGCAAAACACTTAATCTGGGAAAAATGCTTTGCATGTGCTCTACCACACTGTGCTAGGTGCACCTCCATTATTAGCAGAGTGAATGAGGTGCAAGGTCACACTGGATATAGACCAAGTTTTGCACTAAGTATGAAAATTTAAGTCTAGTGAATCAGGAAAGAGTGTGAGGCACTCTGGGGCTCTGAAACCTTTTTTTTTCTTAAAATTCAGACGACTTTTGTGGATCAGTCAAATGTTCTTTAAAACAATGCTACATGCAATTTCCCTTTTCATTTTCCACTTCTGTCACCATAAATCAGCTAGTGGAAACATAAGAATCTTTCTCCCTGGCCACAATAAGCTACTTAACTGCATCCCAAAGGGACTTGGCCTCAGTAGTGTTTCCTCTATCTGGTGTAAAATAGCTAGTAAGGGAGAACCCCCCTGCCCAGCACATTTTCAATATTTCACTCTGCAACAGACACTGACTACATATACAATATAGGTATCAGCCAGGAAACAAAAACCAAGCAAAGAACTTGATCCTGAAAGCCATGTGTGCTGGAAATCACCTTCTGGAGGAGCATTTAACATGCATCCAGTCCAAAGGACAGGAGCAGACACATAAAACAATAAGCTGCTTACAGTTATTAAAACTTCAGTACCTGACTCTAGATAAAGGTCCTCGGTTTCCAGACAGAGTGACAACATCAAATCCTGTTCTCCTTCCACCTTCTCTAACTTCCTGTGTGTAAAATCCATCAATGGGAATGCCAGAGGATTTCAGAGCTTCAGTGACTTTCTGGATCAAAGTAGTCTTTCCAACCCCTAAAAATAAAGAATGGAAAAAAGCACACAGCATTAATCTTCTTCTGCACTAAAAGCCCATTTTTTTAAATGCCACAGTAATGATTCAGTTCAGCAGGAACATTGATTACTTTTGAAGGTTGCAAATTACTTTTTCTACGTGGTAGAACAGAGGTATTTTTTAACATTCATCCTGTACTGATGCTGTAAAGTTTCACAACAGAATGGTACAAATATCCCAGGCTACCAATGAACTTGTTAGCTTAAATGATGCATGACCAGGCCACAAAACTTACCACAAGGCAGGTGGCACAAAACTGATATCCAAGCTTGCTGGAAGACTGACTGAATTTCCCTTTCTACCACTGATATTCATTACTTTTAAGATCAGAGCTAAGTTCATCCCTTTTTAGATCAAAAGGTCAAAGCTGACTGCTATTATCAGATGCCTAACTGGCATGAAGGACACACTTCTTCCACTGATGTCCAAGAAATCAGAAGCACTCAATGTCCCTGAGATACCAAGTCCTTACAAAGCCCCAACAACAGAAAACTGTTCCTTCTGGTAACTGAATCAAGAGACATTTTGACTAGATACAGAGAAAAGCTTGTTTATAGCGAGGCCAATGAAGCCATGACTGAGATTGCCCAGGGAGGCTGTGCCACCTTCACATACTTCAATGTTTTCAAGAGATGACTGGATAAAACCTGAGGCAACATGGTCTGGCCTGATACCTGATACTCCTTTAAACTTCCTCAAGTCCCTTTTGACGTGAATTATCTTCTGGCCCTATAATTTCAGTTTTTTACCCTAAGACAGGTCCTTAAAACTCCTGCCACCTAATATCTCCTTGCACAGTCTGATGTACCTTTTACAATGTGAACACTGGCCATGTTCCAGAAATCCTTTCACTTCTTCTCCTCTGCCATTGTACAAGTACATCCCTCAATGATCTCCTTTTAAACTCACCTTTATTGCCTCTCACAAAATGTAGTGCTATCACTTCATTTTTAACCACTGCTTTAAAAAATTCAGATGATAGAAAATAATCCTGCAGAATAAACCTTCAAATTCCTGGAGATAAGGAACACAGACCAAACATGAGATGCCTAAAGATGATAACAGAAATCATTTCAACATGCACACACAAAATTTCTAAATTAGACTTTGAGCAGATTTAGGAACTGCTTTCCTAACAGTCAATACCAATGACAAAATATTTTGTGGCTTCAAAGGCATGTAGTCAAATGCCTAAGCAAACTCTTCAAATTTGAAGAAGGCGTCTTCCTGACAGGTGAACAACAAAAAAAAGACAAATGTGGCACCCTCGGTTATCTAACATTTTTTCAAGGCCTCGTCTCTTGTAAGTGAATTTATACTAATTTTGCTAAGTGGATTTGCTAGCTCTAGTTTTTTTACATTCATTCAGTCAACTGCCAAACAAGCTAGAGTGATTCAAACTAAGTTTAAGGAAGCTTGAAGTTAGACATTTAGCTAATCAAAACAGTACATCCAGTTTCAAGTAAATGAAGAGAGATAAGACCTAAGCAGCCCTAACCTCTACATCTCCTGAAAGCCTCCTTTATTCAAGAGGTTGGAAAGCCAGTGTGAAATGTGTGGCATGTATTCCTATGTCAGCCCAACTGCAGCATTTTAAATTAATTCCAGTCAAGACAGCCATCTGCAAGACGTTCACAAAAAGAATTAGGCCCACTGCTTTACTCCCACAACACAAAGGAAAGCTCTGCAATCATAATAACTAATTAATTTCTTCATCAACCGTAGAGATTAACCCTCATACTATGTCCCCACTCAGTCTCCACAATAATCATATTCCATTACCATGACAAACTACTTCACTGCTTCAGTCAAGGCCTGCCCATCCGGGACACCATTATTACCTGCACCTGCACTTCACTGAGGCTGCAAGTGCTAAATCACTACAATTAAGTTACAGGAAAGATGAGCTCTCAGAAATTATTAATCTCTGCAGTTTATACTGAAGCAGGATCAGTTGTGCAGGAGGTGTTTTTTCCCCCAACACTGAACTCCTGGCCAGAAGCCAGGGACAAAGCAGCACCGCCGGGGAATGTGCATGCCTTGGAGCACTGGATGGAGAGGTAAAGCGGCACTTCGTTAGGAACAAACTAATTAGTGCCACAGCTCTGACCTCGACAGGAGGGGGCGGGCGGGGCTCCGGGCCCGCAGCCGCGGAACCTCGGCCGGTGCCGGGCCCAGCTGCAGCTGGAGGCGCTCCCGGGGCATCCTCGGACCCTTGGGCCTGGCAGCAGCCGCCTTCCCCCGGCTCTAAGCGCCTCACAGCCCCGCCGGTGCCGCGGAGGGCCGGGCCAGGCCAGGCCAGTCCGTAGCCTAGGCCATCCCCTCGGCCGCGCCAGCGCCACCACCACTGCCCGGCTCCTCGGTCTCCTCCCGCCCCATTACCTGGGGGTCCCGTGAGAAACACGTGCTTGGACATGACGCGCCCCCCCCTCCGCCCTCACCTCCGCCCGGCGCTCCGCTCCGCCCCCAGCCCGGCCCCGCTCCGTTCCGCTCCGCCCCAGGCGGGCGGTGCCCCCCGAGGCCTCGGGCAGGACGGGCCCTGCTCGGCCTGAGGCCACCTCAGAGGCGGGGTGGGCAGAGGGTGCTGCTGGGGTGTTTCGCGAAGGATGGTGTCAGTCTAGGGTTAGGGAGGAGGGGAAGAAAGGCAATTAGTTTCCTAGTTGAGGACTAGCGTCTTCTTTTTCCAGTTAGCTTAACCTGTCACATGTCTGAGTATTTTAATGCGACCATAGAATGTTAAGGTGTGGGAATAAACCTTAAAGATCAGTCCCAAGCCTCCCTGCCCACACCTCCCACTAGACCAGGTTGCTCAAGGCCTCATCCAGCCCGGCCTTGAACACTGCCAGGGTTGGGGCATCCACGGCCATCCTGGGCAACCTATTGCAGTGCCTCACCACCCTCACAGTGAAAAAAATCTTTTAAATATCTAACCTAACTTTTCCCTCTCAGTTTTTACCCATTACTCCTTGTCCTATCGCTACCTTCCTGCCAAAGAGTCTGTCTCTGGCATCACTGTTTGCCCCTTCAGATACTGGAAGGTTGCTGTAGGTCTCCACATAACCCTCTCCAAGCTGAACAGACACAACTTTTTCAGCCTGCCTTGACAGAGAAGGTGCTCCACTCATTTTCCAACTTTGTGGCCTCTTCTGGACTTGCTCCAATAGTTCTATGTTCTTCTTATGGTGGGGACACCAGAACTGTACCAGTGGAGACCCCTCCAGATTGGGTCTCACAAATGCAGAGATGTAATAATAAACTCTCCCTAGAGTTTTTTACCTGTTTCCAGTAAGCAATGTGCTCCAGGGTGTAGCAAACCATCAAATTAAAAGATGAATGGTTTTGTCTGATACCTCGATGCAGACAGCAAATGTAACTGGGGGGGTTACAGCCAGGGGATTGTTACAAAGCTAAGCAAATTGAGAAGGTCTGGCAGGTTTAACAAAGATGCTGATAGACATCTGCATCCCAAAATGCCATATGCATGTGGCCTCCTTATTTGTTTAGGCTTTTCTCATGGGGAGCAGTAAGGGAGCAGGGAAAAAGATTTTTTGGGGGGAGGAGTGTGGTGCACAGGCTTCTGTCTGGGTGAAGTGATGCCTGGACACCAAGAAATACTGATTCCTGCCTGGCCATAAGCACCAAAGTGGTTACCCAAAAATACTGAGCTGTGGAAGGGATACATTCCAATTTCTGTTCTCCTCACTAGAATGGATCACTTCAGGTTCAGCCCATCATTGTCAGGCTTTCATTTTAAGTAATTTCTCAAGGAGTTAAAGGTTATTCATCATTTTCACCAAGATAATGAATATCCTTGTCAGCCAGATGAAATGTGCACATCAGCAGGTAGAGTGCACCTCACAGTAGATGGGTATTTCCATAAATTGAACAAAATATTTTTGGCCACTCTTCCTTGTATTCTTTCATATTCTTAGGAGGAATAACTGCATGTGGAACATGTTTCATGCTTAAATAGTTAATTAGAAAAACTTGACAACTCTGGCATGACTCTTTTGAGGTCAGAGGGTCAAGAAGTAACAGAGAGACCTTCCCTTGTCATCAAAAATGAAAACTGCATTTTCATAGTTTACATTCCAGTACTTTGTTCTGGTGGCTTTTTAGAATCAGTGAAATTGTGATGTTAACTTACATCTTCTTGTCTGTCAGGCATCTTTCATCTAAAGAGAGAACTGCAGAGAAGAACTGCATATTTGAATGGACTGTTAGCACAAGAGCAACACTTGACAACTGGCTACTTCACCCTTGCCCTGAACTTCCTGTGCAGAGCTTACCATGATTGATTTTACAGGTAGGTTTTCTGTATAATATTAAACTAAATCAGTCTGTTGGCTGGTCTCCCAGGCAGGCCACATGAAAGAGACCCAGACAATGTTGTTTTGTTCAGTGTTGAGTTTTACTAGGTTTTACAAATCAACCCTTTCTTTTTCCGAAGTGCATGTGGAGAATTTTAAGGCTATCACTACTGTTTGACAGAACCCATTTTTTCTGGTATTCTAATAACTCTTTCATCCCATTTTCTAAAACAGGACTCTCAGAGTTATTTCACTGTGTGGTTAAGACCTTTCTCTTGCAAACAGATGTGTAAGCAAAGTAGTTGCAGCACCAGGACTTAAATTAGTTAGCATTTCACATTGGTTTCCATTGTAATTTCTACTGTAAAATGTTTTCTCTTTCTGAATACTCTGTCTAGGTTGAAGTAATTTAAAAGCATGAAAGGCAAAAAGTAGTTATGCCTTTTGTGCTTTTGTAGAGTTTTGCTGTTAAGAGGACCTTATGTTTGCTATATTAACTGGAATTTTTATGCATTTTCTGTCAAAGATTTATTGTTTAAGTTTATTCCTTTGATATATTTATTCTATAATCAGTGACTGCCAAGAAGATGCAGGTTGTTCAAGGAGTATGAGTTGCAGGGCACAAGTTATGTTCTCTGTAGCTGTATGCTGGAACCAATAGTGTTTGGAGTCAGCCTGTGTGCTTTCCTGATCCTGGGATTTTTGCATTCTTGGATGGAGATGGTTAGCTTAAATAAGTAGAAAGATCACATACCCTAGCAGTATAGATAACTCTAAAAGAATGTAGGTAAGTGGGTTTTATTCCTTCCAGGATGAGAAGAACACAGCTTTTCCTTCTTAATTAGTAGTAATTTATTCCTAAAAAGGAAATTTCCAGTTCATAATATTTTCCTGACCAAGTACCAAGTACTCTTTCTTTGCTAGGTAGGGGTGAGTAAAATTCAACTGATGCTGAATTGAATTGTGTGATTGGGCAAGGCCATGAAAGAAATATTTACAAAAAGACCCCTCCGCAGTTCCAGGGGCAGGCTGTGATTCTGAGTGATCTGTGGAGACCTTGGAAGGAGCTGTCAATCATTTTTATGAACTGTTAGCTAAGCATGGGGAAGCTTGCATTTATTGCTGGATGTTGACTAAAAAAAATTGGATAGAGTCCTAGACCTTTATGTTGAATGGGGTAAAATTAATTAACTGCAAATTTCCAGACCAGTGACTAAGAAAAGAGGCCATTTATGATATTTATGGTATTCCCTAGAGTAGAAGCTGGAAGGAATGAGAGTGTAATCTACCATCTCTGACCTGCCTTAGTAGGCAGGAGTTTACATTTCAGCACTCTGCCTTGGGGTAGGCACATTATCTTGTTCCAGTTTCAGCCCTTGGTTTATCTGGTATTAGGTTTTGGAGTTTTTCCCCTTATGGGAGAGAATGGTCAAGTTGGAACCCTTTTCTTTCTCTCCAATAGAACTTGTCTTCTTGATTCGTAGTATCTCAAGTTGGTACAGCATTTTGCTTGCATCGGGATAGGAAGGTATGGTTTTTAAAAAAATAACACTTTATATTAGAGAGTTCCTTATTTTGTCCTTGCTCTCCCCTGGAGAGAATTCTCCTGCTCGCAGATAGTGGGTCTGGCTGTATATTACTGCCCATCTAATCATATTAGTGATTGTATTTCAGAGTTGACTGCCGTTTTTGGCCTGTGGAGCAATCATGGCATCAGCAGGTGTCTGAGAGAAAGCACTGAGCTTCTACAGCCTGACCATCTTTAATCTTAAACTTCCCAGGGAGATAAGCCATTAGCTACATACAGAGCTTCCTCTAGATGAAAACTGTGGTCCTCCTTCTATCAGAGATTTACCTATAGAGCTTTTTTGTGTGGGTCATGCAGAAGAAATCCTTTATGTTCTTTCCATAAATGGTTGTGTCCCCCAAAACAGAAAGAAATCCTGAAAGTATTTCCTGAAAATAGAAATAAATATTAGAAATACATATATCAAATGTTGTAAATAAATATATGGTAGTTGGTGAGTATTTGTGAAATTGAATTTACTATTGTAAGCAACAAAGAGCAACCCACATTCAAAGAACGTAGTCCTCAAATATATCAAATGTTGTAAATAAATATATGATAGTTGGTGAGTATTTGTGAAATTGAATTTACTATTGTAAGCAACAGAGAGCAACCCACATTCAAAGAATGTAGTCCTCTGTCCCTCCCAGTACAGCATGTTGCACCTCCTTGGCAATTGCAGACAGAGGGGAAAAAGTAAAAAAATCTAATAAGTTGCTGTACGTTTTTTAAAACATACATGGCTGGATAAAAGAGGAAGACCCTTTTAATGAGTTATGCAGCATAAACAGAATCCTTTTTAGGCAGGAGAGAAGTCATGTAGAGCTCAATCCATAGCACAAATCCATAGGAAAACAGTTTTATTGTTTCCATTCTTAACAAAATATCTTGCTGGTTTGCTGGTCTAGATTCACACCTCATACTTCTTGAAAAAGATAAAGTCTCTCTGAAACTGCATGACATTTTGTATGGTATTCTTAACAGTTTTACTAGAAATAGCAAGATGCATTCTTTTTTTAAAAAAATGCAGACTAGTTTGTTATGGGATGATAAAACCAGATTTACTATGATAATCTGTTATTTTGACAGGGATACTGACCTGAAAATTTCAGATTTCAGCTGAATTCTGTCAGATGTCAATGGAATACTCTGTAGTTGAGGAAGAATATTGAAGAGAATAAATTTAATTGTATTGCTAAATTTTTCATTGCTGTTTTTTAAGGTGTTACAATTTTGTCAAGAAAATGTCATTCCTGTGGTTGTTGATTTAAATAGGCAGGAATATAAGTGAATTTCTGTACTACTTTGGGTGACACTTGGCGGAGTACAAACTGCTTTACTAAAAAGCACATTAGGCAGTAGTTCCTTCAAGACAGTTCAGAGAAACCATAGGATGAATTGAATTCAAAAATAACAAGAAAGTGAAGCAAATAATCTCCCATTGGGGCTGAGAGAATACAAGGAAAAGCTAAGCCAGTTTGACAAGCTGTAGACATAAATGTATTTAGAATAATATAATTTTCAGATTTCCACTCCTCAGTGATGTTCCTTTTTTGGGTAACAGCTTTTATACCTAAAGGCTGCAGTGGTGA